TTATGGATGGCCCCTTACCATGAAATTCATTAATTTCAGGGAGTTCGAGTTTACGTTTAAGTTTACGCTGCCTGTAGGTTTCCTGTAGGAGGTCTACTGTTTGTTTTCAGGATATACGGTGAGAGGATTGGGACAGGAGTAGTGTACGGTGTGCAGTCTAGAGGGGCAGCAGCAGCAGCAGCAGCAGCCGGGTATGGTTTGAGTCCTGGTGATGGCTGGTGATGGCTGGTGATGGCTGGTGATGGCTGGTGATGGCTGGTGATGGCGGTCAATTTCTCAGACTTTTCTCGTTTCAACTCCCCCCTCCCCCCCCCCCCCCAAAAAAAACATTTCATGGTTCTCATGGAGGCCGAGTTATCCGCATCCGCAGGAACGCCACCACCCTCTAGGATCAAGGCGCAGGTGCAGCTCCAAAGCGATGGGAGGTTAGTAGATCAGACCCACCACAAAGTGGTCAACGACCGAAATCCCATTCGCTTCATCCATGCTTCCCTCGTGCCAGGCCACAAGTTCCCAATTAACTGTGGGTCGCAGCACAGATGGAAAACCCCTTCCGCTTCCAAGCAGGACTTGAACCTAGTACCCTCTGTGTCTCAATCCTAGTCTTAGACCAGCATCCCCGGACTATGCCTGCGGCCTGCACTCTCAAACTGAGGAATAAATACTGGTGGCAGGTGTGTTCTTCTCTTTCTCATTCTCCTGGTTCAGGCTAGCCAATATCCAGTGCATGCCTGGGTATGCGCTTTTATTGTTCAATGCAAATTATGACTCAGGAAAGACAAGAGCATGCTTATCATATGAAAGTCGACAGGAGCGAAAATTGGAAAGAGATGTATGCACACGTAAATCCATTGCCAATTTTCGGCATTGACGCAATCCTTAGTGAAACTGTTGGATACAGGAAATTGAAAATACGATCTTCATGTGGGTTTTTCTGATCTCCTGCTCTTCGCTGTCTGCAGCACCTAGCTGAGAAGACAAGTGATGGAGACATCCACAGTAGTACATGCTTATTTCCTCTCCTCAGTTCAAGTGAGTATTGTCAGATTATCATATCTTCTACTTTTTTGTGTTTAGGTGGTCTAGAACGGCAGGTCTAGAACGGCAGGTCTAAAAGCAGGTCTAGAACGGCAGGTCTAGAATGGTAGGGTTCTAGGCAAAGGGGGTAGGGGTGCAGCTGATCCCAGTGAAACATGTGCCCCTACTCACTTTCGATTTGATGCCGGTGAGTTTGAGCAAATGTTTGTGTTTGGATGTACAAGGTCTAGAGAGTGCAACACTTCACTACCAAGCTACTTTCCAAATTGTACACACAATATATACAACACTTCACTACAAATCTACGGTCCACGCTAATCACACAAGATATACAACACTTCACACACTACCAAGCTAACTCTTACAGTCCACATTATACACACAAGATATCAGCCACCATGACACACACATGGCATGCTTTATCTGATTTCTTACACACACACACAACAGGAAGTGAGGCTAGAAAGTCAAAAGGGCAAACTGTCGACCTTCCAGCAGAACAATATTTCCAAAGTCAGCCACACTGAAAGAGGCTCAACTGAAACGCCTGCCAACTGAGTTATTATCTGTATTGATGGCAACTCGCACCATACAGCTATGCACTGATGCAGCCACAGCCTCAGGCTGACTTATTGTGCCATGTTGGTGAACTATACAGGCAAACTATCACCATTATGGCGGTGCACCAATGCATCCCGCTTGAATGTGCGAAGAAGTAAAGTTAAGCCTGACCAATATGTGTGTGTGTGTGTGTGTGTGTGTGTGTGTGTGTGTGCGCGCATGTGCATGCGTATGTATGCGTATGTATGTGTGTGTATGTGTGTGTATGCATGTACGTATGCGTGTGTTCGGTCTGCTTTCCTTACAGGTACAATGGGATTGAGTATGTGTGCTACAGGTCAGTGCTGTTCCACATCCAGTATAGCCAGTACTGCCACTGCTGACGCTGCCACCGCTGCCACTGCTGCTTGTTTCCCACATCATACCTGTCCATGTGCTACTACGCATGCAGCAGCGGCAGCTACTACTGATCAGTCATCAGCCTCTGCTGCTCATCATCATCAGCAACCATCCAAACCGACTGTTCATCTGCCAACTCTGTTGTCTGTTGATAAGCTGAGTCAGTACATGCAGTTTTTCTCCCGTCCTGATCAGCAACAAGAAGAGCAGCAGCGACCCCCGACGCAGCCACAGCAACAGCATGAGGAGCAGCGGCGGCAGCAGCAGCAGGAGCAGGAGCAGCAGGAGTGAAAAACACAATAAGTTACTCCAGACCGGTGGAGGTGGCAGTCTGCTAAGGCCAGTGCTCAGACCGGATATGCAGCAATGAATTGCAGTAGTGTTTGTGTCACTGCAGCTGGTTGCCATAGCCTGGGCAGCGATGACCTGTGTCTAACAGCAAGACAATGAAGACTGAGGAGAACGGCAAAGGGACAAACTGGTATTTGCCATCACGTGAGAGCCATTTCTTGACCTCAGTAAGCCGTTGAATGTGTAACAATAGGTATGATAATGTGATAGACTTCGTCAGTTTCCATCCCCCGCCCTCCCCCCCCCCCCCCCCCCCCCGCGTATGCTGCGGTGCTATTGTTGATGGTGTAGGCTGATCAAGCTACTATCGGTAAGAACACATAGGTGTGAATAGCAATGCAGGTGTCTGTACAAGTCGACGGTTGATTTGTTATGAATATCATTGCAGGCATCTGCACAAGTCAGATGTTGATCTGTTATGAATATCATTGCAGGCATCTGCACAAGTCAGATGTTGATCTGTTATGAATAACATTGCGGGTATCTGTACAAGTCGGTGTAGATGGATAGTTAGCGGTGTGGGTATTATGTAGCATGATCAGTATCCTCATGCTGATTGGCAATTACCCGTCGGTATGCTTTATGCACAATCTATCACTACTGTACGAAGTAGTGGTTGCGACTTCGGCGATGATTTGTCAGAAAAGGGTTTGCTCCCCACACCGGAGCTCGCGCTATTCCGCCGACTTTACTTGACACTTGACTGACTCACGACTGCCATCCAGAGCACACGAGAAATCCATCGAACCTTCGACTCGGCAAACCTGCAAGAAAGCACCACTCCCTGCTCAATACACAGTGTTTCGGGGAATTCACCCCTCATCAGTTGAGCTTGAGTAGGCTGAGGAAGATTGTGCATAAAGCATACCGCTGGAAACGGAGCGTCTCTGTAAGTTTGTATCCCTGGTGATGTTTGTGCCTGGAGAGCACTATATAAGTGGTGCTCTTCAGGCACAATCTTCCTCAGCCTACTCAAGCTCAACTGATGAGGGGTGAATTCCCCGAAACACTGTGTATTGAGCAGGGAGTGGTGCTTTCTTGCAGGTTTGCCGAGTCGAAGGCTCGATGGATTTCTCGTGTGCTCTGGATGGCAGTCGTGGGTCAGTCAAGTGTCAAGTAAAGTCGGCGGAATAGCGCGAGCTCCGGTGTGGGGAGCAAACCCTTTTCTGATCTATCACTACTCTTGCTGATACTGCACTGTACAGTACATGTGCTGTGGTGATTGTCACCCATACTACGAGTATAGGCATGCTGTACATAGTGTACATACTATAGGCATGCTGTACATAGTGCAGACATACTATAGGCATGCTGTACATAGTGTACATACTATAGGCATGCTGTACATAGTGCACATACTATAGGCATGCTGTACATAGTGCAGACATAGCGTACATAGTGTACAGTACACTGGTTATTAATGTGTGGGCTGAGGATGCACTTTACAGGTGTTGTACAGGTTGTTTTCCTTTGACTATGGAAATTTGTATTTCGTTTTTTAATCAAAATTACACACAAGTCACAGAGCACCACACATCATCCGGTTGTAACTATTGGTTTCATGCCCATGGGCAATCATCAGACAACTGACTGACATTATTAAAATTTACAAGTAATCAAATTACTAGTATAATTACAATTATGGTAAAAAAGGAGAATGATAAAATGTTACGAGTTATGACTAACTGTCCACCAACGTAACCAGATCATATACAGTCATCGAGTGCGACAAAAATGGCACCAAACTGGCAAGGAATACTGAGACATTCAACGACCTGACACCTAGCTCCAACACTTCTCCGAGACGCAAACCAACAACCTTCCAACTTGGAGGGCTCAGGTTGGTCCAAGAGGGGATTTTTGTCCTCCTCCTTTTTACCATAATTGGCTCACCATCCGAGCTGAACTTTATAATAATTATTCCAGTCCTAATCATACTTTTCATCCTTCCCTGTACTGTCCTGAAAAGAAGGGAAGGAACGTTGGATAGACTAGAAAGGGGTGTCTTCTTGCGTCGCTGTGAGGACTGCATGTGAATGTAGCTACTTGGATGAATTACTTGTGTTCAAAGTGCAGCTTATACTTATACTCTGGAAAATACGGCAATGTTCAACATTGTAACTACAGTGTTGTATGTGATTTTGAGACCCAGACGCGTTGCTAAATTGATTGGGACTGATGGTTGCTGGATGGTGAACGGGGGATTCCCCTGGCTCTAAAAAGTGCAGCTACGTCATACAGATAAAATGCTTGTCCCTGCTTGATGAACCATACAGACAGGATAGACAATTTGCTTTTAGCCTAGCATTTACTTCAAGTGATTTAGTCCAAAACCACATTTGCTGCATCACAGCTCATTGTGATGTTATTATTGCACAAAACAATATAATAATAAGGTGCATTCAATTTATATCTAATATTATTTGTTTTTTTTTGGAAGTGAAGTGAACATATGCAGCAAAGAGACCGTAGTTGGAGAGTTAGAAGTGAGGTACCCTATAATGTGTGAATGGCTGCAATGGAGTCTGCGAGTGCTTAGAAAAACAATATAATACATTATTCTAGTCTAGTACTGAAGTAGACGAGAGATCATTGTTTGACTGTATGTTTTAGTACAAAAGTTGCAGCAAGGTCACTAGAACAAGATGACATCAATATAGCATTAGTTGGCAGCCATATTACACAGGTGAACTTCGAAGACTGCAGCAACAGCAGCAGTAGTGTGTGGCAATGCGCGGATAACATCGGCACTGCCATTTCCTCAACTTTACATTCCATCAATTATTGAGTCTGATTGAAGCAGTAAAACACATGAAGTCCTGCATAGCCGGCATACTAGTATTCGTAGAATACAGTGACAGTTATAAGCCAGTCAGCACATGAATGTTATAAGCCAGTCAGACATGAATGAAGCATGTGGAGTGCACATACTGATATAGAGTTGTACCAAATTTGCACGAGCAGATTCTGGCATGTCGTAGTCATGACTGTCGTCGAAGTGATGCTAAACTGATTTCCTGCTCAATTTCATTACGAAGGTTTGTCTGGGCGAAGAACTCTAAAGCAATAATATAGATCACACATACACATACACACACCACAAACACATACTCAAGCACATGCACACACGTGCACGCACACATGCATACACACACACACACACACACACACACACACACACACACACACACACACACACACACACACACACACACATGCATATATACATACATACAAGGAGAACTATATGTAACGTTATACACAATGAAAGCATACACACATGAAATGCAGTAGTGTCTTGAGGTATAGCTTGATATATGTGTCATACTCTTACATACATGCATGGTTTTTCTTTTCCTGTCCCGCATGAGTCCGTGTACTCTTTCAGGTATCTGGCAGCAATACACATTGCTCAGATCGACATGAAACCCATTTTCACGGTTGCACAGTGTTTGGAAAGAGCTTAGCGGCAGCAGCAGCAGCAGCAGCAGCAACAGCAGCAACATCAACAACCAACAACTGCAAAAAGCAACAAGCTGTTCTGTAACCCCAGTGCATACTTGACACATGCTTGACACGCCATCATTAGAATACAGATTTGAAGCAGTGACGACAAATTCAGCATCAACGGCAAAAGGATGACAGTCACACAGAATATCATCAATTTTAATCAACATTTATAATGTAACCTCACTTGAAGCAAAATGACCAATATCCGTGGGTTGTTCCTTCAACACACTCCTGAATCAACAACCACAACAAGACCAAGAACCACAACAGGATCCACAACCACAATAAGATCAAGAACCACAACAAGATAGGGTGAAGATGTGTAAGCAGGGTCAGTAACAGCAGCTTAGTTGAAATGATTGCTCTCCTCTAGCCTAAGCACAACCCCATCTCCCACCTAGGCAATTTCCCCATCTCCGACCTAGGCACATGTTGCACCCCTTGACAGTGGCACTTGTCTCCTCTGACTACTCATTCCTTGTCCCAGGGACGCGACAGAAACTCACTGCTGGCTGCTAAGATCTAACTTGAAATCATCAAGTCGGAGCACAATGCATGCCGCACCATGGACAGGTGATTTCATAGGCTGGGCAGAATAGTATAGAACACTAAATATACCGTCTATTGATTGAAGAGCAGGACAATTAATCTCGTTCTTACCTTGTAAACTTCTGCAACAGAATCGGTAATTCTATATGCTGACGCAAGTACTTCTCATTCTCAATCCTCAGCTTTTTCTACATGGAGAAAAGTGAATGACCACATACACACACATAAACACACACACACATAAACACACACACACACACACACACACACACACACACACACATGCATCACTTGACTGTGAGCAGCAGCAGGAGCAGCAGCAGCAGCAGCAGCAGCGATCAGACATTATAGATGTAATGCGATTATTCGATCAGTTGATATGCTTTGCACAGCTATGTACTAGCGACTCGCGCTGTATACAGATAACGTCCATGAGCGGCTTCACTGACGTACCACCATGACATCATTCGCATCACCTCTATCACCTCCATCATGTCACCTCTCCCAGAGACCCAGACTTCATGCACTGCAGTACAGCACCATACACTGTGCAGTGCTGCTCATGAAATCCAGTCGCATCACTCAAGTACACGCCGGGCGTTGCGCAGCCCTAGACCTGCGAACACTGGACTGCGAAATGGTGAAAGGCGAAAACTTGAGCGAAGCGACTGAATTTCATTAAAGGGGAAGTTAAGGCAAAAATTAAAATTTCACCAGTTGTAGTCTTCGGGGTGCTGAGTCGAATGGTCTTGGTCCGAGGAAGCTGAGACGCTCCCTTCCTACTTGAATCCCAATCGAACTCGCGCACTTCCACCGAAACTGGGTGACTGCGCCCTACTAGATGGGGATTTGTATGCAAAATGTCACTAAAAGCGCCATTTCGTTCTTATAAAAGCACGGATGACCGCGATTGGCCCATATGTTGTAGTCTTTTGGACGCTGAGTCGACTGGTTTTGGTCCGAAAAGGCTGCGATGCGGCGTTCCTCCTTTATTCCCAATCGAACATGGTTGAAGAAGCGGTCACGTGGTCCTGGGTGCCCAAATCACCTGGTCACCACGCTAGCAGGTGACAACTTTCACACCAAGGTTCAACTCGAGTTCAACTCGAGTGACAGGACTGCAGCCAAAAAAGGTCAAACAGGCTAGTAAGTTGTACCCTGCAGGCACGGTGACCAGGTGACTGGTGTACGCAGGAGCACGTGACCGCTTCTTCAACCATGTTCGATTGGGAATAAAGGAGGAACGCCGCATCGCAGCCTTTTCGGACCAAAACCAGTCGACTCAGCGTCCAAAAGACTACAACATATGGGCCAATCGCGGTCATCCGTGCTTTTATAAGAACGAAATGGCGCTTTTAGTGACATTTTGCATACAAATCCCCATCTAGTAGGGCGCAGTCACCCAGTTTCGGTGGAAGTGCGCGAGTTCGATTGGGATTCAAGTAGGAAGGGAGCGTCTCAGCTTCCTCGGACCACGACCATTCGACTCAGCACCCCGAAGACTACAACTGGTGAAATTTTAATTTTTGCCTTAACTTCCCCTTTAAGCAAGACTGTACATTGTACTTCCGCAGTATCATGTTGATATGCACACACTGCTACGTTGAGAGGGACGTGGTTACATGTCATCATACAATCGTAATAATTATTATAGACAAAATGTTGTTTTCGCGGGGGGCGGGGGGGGGGGGATTTGCTACCATTGCAGACTTCACTCACAATCCCAACTAACTATCTGGGGTATGTGTATCTGTGCGGGTGCCGCCAATGCTAGTACCGTTGTAGCCTAGCAGTCTCACACACAGCAGTGACCATGGTCCATGGTGACTATAATCCTTACATTCATACCTTGTAGATGTCAAGTTCTATTTGCTCCTCGTCAGACAATGTAAATCTCGGTACATCTTTATCGAATCTGTTCAAACTGTAACTTCCACTCATTGCTTCTGACTTTCCTTCACCGATCAAGTAATGTTCACCGATATTTCCACAGCAGGGGGGGAAGAAGAGGGGAAAGTCCAGCTACAAAGCGAGTCAGTACCGCACTTGCACGCCACTTCATGAATTCAGCACTTGTCTTCACTGACCATTGACATAATCATTGTGTACTGTGACTAGTCCATGACTTTGTACTGACTTTTGTAGTCTTTGCAGATATCTACGACTGCATCGATCCTGTACTAGACCTACGAATGACTGACGGACTGTAGACTAGTGTAGTAGTAGTGAGTATAGTGTAGTGCAGTGTAGATCTACATCATGTAGTGTAGAATGTAGAAAAACAGAGTGACAGTAATCAAACAAATTTTCTTTTGGATTTATAAATTATTTTTATTTTCACAATCATCTTGATCATGGTCATGATGTCATGACATTGTCATGACATCGACATGAAACAGTCATGCGTCCAAACAAACTAATTTTTACCGTATGCATTTCGGCTTTTCTTAGATTTCTATTTCTAGGCATAGAAACTGTGACTTATTTTGTTGAATAATCTCGTGGACTACAGGACTCTCAGTGATATTGCAATTATGTCGGTTGATCTAGAGTAGCGTCTGAATTATTTGTAGTATTCGCTACTATTTTGGTCGATTCAGACTCAAAGCTAACGAATAGGGTCCCGGAATAGTATACTAGTGGAGATCACTATTACTAGCCTGCAAGGCAACGTCTGAATGTCACAATGAGTGGGTAAGAATAGATGCCACGAATATTGGTTTTGTCACGTTAGTTCTCCTGCATGAGTACCTATTTCAGTCATTGACACTCATGATTCCGTCATTATGGTCATGCTAGCTAGCTGTGTCTTTCTACTTCAAGCACTTGTGCCATAATTGTAGTTGTGGTATTTGATGGTGGTGTACGCAGTTGTGATGGTGCGGACTGCTGCTATTTGAGGGGACGTTACGTAGATCGGCATTGCACGTTGCCTTCGGTGCTGTGGTGGGTACATGGGTGGATGTTTGTGTTCGTTGCTAGCCATTTGTGTAGGCGTCGGCTGTTGAGCACTGACTCACTGACTCGCTGTATCCATGGTATCTCTAAAAAATAATTGCGATAAGAATCAGGCGTGTTCGTGACCGTAGTCGTAGACAATGCAAGACATGTTGACAGTAGGATAGTTACTTCAGCTTGCAATGTTGCATCTGATGCAAGTGATAGAGCTACCACTTGAAAAGGTCAAGTAATTAGTTTGTCCTAGCCAGGCTGCTGGAGACCTTAGTAGACGTGCATAGATATAGTGCGACTGATGGGAACATTCTTCGGCGCTCAACAATGTCTGCACGGCTCACTGCCAGCGAGTCTGGTGACGATGAGGAGTTTTGTTTCAATGTTGTCGTCAAGGGTGTCCGTCCTAAGCGTCCTGTCACTGTTCATGCAAGGTGAGATGATGCCATCCTGATGGAGATGCCAATGAACTGTACTACTGTCTACATAGTGCTACTAGATCAGCCTTGGTTGGTTGAAAACACGTTGTTTGGCTGACAGCATCTTCCACTTGCCACTAGGAGGTTGTAGTAAGGAGCACTGTTTTTGAACACAGGGTGTCCTCCGCCTTGGAACATGCTGTCAACCAAAGCACTGTCTACATGTACGGCCCGTGTACGGCCCGGTGTTGTTATGTTATTGACAGAGAAATCCCAACAAAGATTAGGTCATTCTGACGTAAAATCACTGGTACAGTTGTATGTCAGTAATCCAGCACCTTCGGGACGGGACGCTGTTGGATAAATGAATAGTCTGGATAACTGAAGCTACATAGCCATATTCTACGCATCAAAGGACTGCACATCATGATTTTATCAGTATTTTGATGCTCAGTTACTAGTATTATCCTGAGATAGTCGCTGTGATCATTTTAAGTGCTGGCAACTGAAATTCGACCCCTGGAGCGGTGCGCTCACATTGCAAAGACCGGGGGGGGGGGGGGGGGGGCAGCACAGGATTGTAGCACTACGAAATAGAGACGGCTAGAGTCAGTGCTGCACTCGAGCACAGAAATCAGGGGTCGGATTTCAGTTGCTACTACTGCATATATACTGACTATATTACCAGTATTATCCTGAAACAGTCGCCGTGCTCATCTATGTTACTAGTACCTTAAAGTACCGTTGATCCGCCCCCTGTCGAATTTCTTCTTGTGAAGCGACTTCGGTGTGTACAACGGAATACGATGTGGAACCAACGCATACACTGCTGTACGCTGTACGTGCCAGTGCAGGATGAAAATGTGCACAATACAGCTTTAATATAGAGTCTGAACTCCCACGTTGTACATCGTACTGCACTTGAGAGCCTTGATCTAATTCCCGCCCCCTGCTGAAAACCCAGCTGAGAAGCGATATAGCTGGGGGGGGGGGGGGATCAACGGTACGTAACGGTATTAACGTAGAGACAGTCGTCGTGCTCATCCATCAGATAGACTGACTCACATGTATTGTAACGCTTGTAATGTTCCAGAAAGGAAACGTTTACTATGGTCACTGTTCAGTTCGTCATGCACAGTTGAAGTAGAACTGTAATAGAACTGTTGAAATGTAATAGAACTGTAATAAAAGAACTGTAGAAATGTACACGGTGCTAGCTGTCAGTGAGCTGTTGGATGACTGACCGCCGCCGGATAAGCGACTGACTCAGACTAGGACGGAGACTAGAACAGACTCCCTGTCAGGGGTGTCGGAACCTGTGCTCTAGGTGGGGCCAAAGCCGCAATAGTTTTTTTTTTAATCTGGTGATTTTGAAGCAATAAAACATGGGTCGTTTGAGCTCAATCCCCCCCCCCCCCCACACACACACTCTCTTCATCGCCACACCAATGTGGAATACCTTCCGACACCCCTGGCTGCATGTCTTTCAGCATGTCTTTCAACTTTGATTCAAAACAGATGCACAGCAGCCATGGTCATGTACGCAACAAGACTAGTGGATTTCACTTGTGATTCTGGTAGATTCTTGCTAGTGGTGCGCACGGGTAGTCGGTACCCGTGCTACCCGTGAGGACCTCGGGTAGACGGGTACAGAATAGTACCCGAAAACCCGAAGTCGCAGATGACATCATGTACAGTGCACGTGTCCAAAATCATGCAATACTCCGCATGTCTACCCAGTGTGTAAGGGAATGGGTGCATTGTGGTGCTACCATGGGGACATTACCCGAACGGGTACCCGTGCTACCCGTGGAAAACTACCCGAACCCGATACCCGAAGAAAATGCTACCCGACTCAGCCCTAATTTTTACAAATCCGATGAGTAATGCTGTGGCAAATGAATCATTGCAGTTTCCTCCGATTAACACTTTTGACTCCCGCCTATGACTACAACTAAACAACAATGAGCTTTGATTTTGTACCATTCCCCTTTTGAAGTCTTTGATCAAATGAATGCCATATGTAACTTGCCACCTTTCATATTTTATCTACAATGTACTTCGAAATCTATGTGCAGCTTCTCCTTCTGGGCTTCCAATGAACCTTGTGAAGCTGTGAAGACCGATCACTGGGCCAAGCAACGAGCAAAGGTACCCTAATGCTGTGTGATAAATTCACTGCTGAATGATAATAAAGTATTGATTGGAAGACATGACATGTCTTCCAAAAACACATTGTGTTTTTGGATTAGGTACCGTAAAGCGACAAACTTTCGCGGTGCGCAAATTTAGCGTTTTCATAAATTGGGCTGGTTTACGATGAGAAAGTTTTGCGATTCTATCTCTTCAGTCGGATCTTGTACTGTCTACAATCAATGCACTTAGGGGTTTGCGGTGATTTATATTCGCGAATGTGTGATGGTCGCGAAAATAGCGAAATTTAATCTCTAGCGAAAATTTCTCACTTTACAGTAGTAGCAACAGTAGCAGGAGCGGTATGACAACTTGTTTAGTATGGTGAGCAAAATTGGAGGAGATTGTGTGAAATGACTGTCAGAAGGAAGAGCATTCCACCGATCTCCCATCAGGATAGAAATAGGATATTATGATTGCTATCCACAATTTACACCAGTTGTTTCACTGTGGTCACGGATACGAGCATTTGTGAGTAGGACAGCTCCATGGGCAAAAGAAATAGTAATGCAGGAAGAGAACTACAGGACTGTCGGTTGCTGAAGAACTCGTGGGTCAGGCTCCTAGTCTAGATCATTCTTATTTTCATGTATGACAGTCTATGAACAGTTATGTCACCGTGTATACATTGGTATGTGATGCTTGGTGGAATGCTAGCCTGGTCGTTCTTCGGTGCTCCATTCTTCGGCGCCCTACAGTACTGTAGCAGTATAAACAAAGGCGTCTCAATACCAAGCCCACTCTTTACAACAAATGCGTATTTTTACCAGGCTCTTCTGGCCATTGGGAATTTACTCCGAGGCTACACCACACTTGTCTTTGCTTCACAGTTTTGCTCGTATAGTGGTTATGTGCAGACATCATCAGTTGACATGCTGGAGCAAAGTCGCAGCACAGGGATATAGTAGCGACTCACTAGCAACTCACTTTGTACATGCAGTGCCCATAAGGGCCATAAGTGGTTCCGACTAAAAATTGTTCCACTATGCTGGTAGTGACGATCTCGAACGTTGCGAGCGATCAACATTCTTATAATTATTAGGGCTGAAACGATTATACCGAATAATCGAGTACTCGTTTGCTAACTCTAACGATCGAGCAATCGTTTAGATTACCGATTACGATTATTTTGCGTTTTTTAAATTTGTGTCCAGAAAGTACTGTAAGCCCTCGTTTTGTGAAGTTTGAATCAGTTTACGCTGGGAGTATGCAGTTGCCAGGGGTATGGTTCATGTTCTGAGGTTAAATTGACTTCAAAACTGCCATGTTTCGGAGCTACCCTTTCACTAATGCAGATTTGTTGGTATTATGAAGGCATAGTTTGTGGAAACAGAGTAATGTTTGCACAGAATTATGACTCTATTTGCTAACGATTATAATCGATTACTCGATCGTTAACCTAAAGAGTAATCGATACTTGAAAATCCACGATCGTTTCAGCCCTAATATTAATTATCACTCAAGTTACTACCACTAATCCGTACTAGTTTTTCTGAAATCAATCAATCCAATTCCGTTGCCAGAGGACTGGGAATGCAAGTTTAAGATTATTTCGACTTTATGATAAGTATCACATCACTTCTTGCTTCTTTCTTACAGCAAAACAATCAATATAATTATTGAATTTGATCTGAATGGGCTGATGCGTGTGCGTGTGTGTGTATGTGCCGGTGTGTGTGTGTGTGTATGTGTGTGTATGTGCCGGTGTGTGTGTGTGTGTGTGTATGTGTCTGTGTGTGTATGTGTGTGTGTGTGTGTATGTGTGTGTGTGTATGTGTTTGATTGATCTGATTGCAGACATATTCACTAGTAGCTCTACCAACCGGAGGTGTTCTACCGCTATGTATGCCACAGATACCTACAGCAAGTCAGAATGGTAATTGCACTACCAGAACTGTTTTGGGTGTGTTTACAATGCAGAGAATTGTGCGTGTGCATTTTAAAAGCCACTGAGACTACCGGCATTGCCCCCACAGTACTTGCTGTTATGCATTTCATCCCATTAGGGTGAGTTCAGACTGAAAGAAACAACTGCATGGTGGAAAGGATGAATCTGTGAATGCCACTCATTCTGAACAGTTTGTGATGTGATGAGCAGAGCTAGTGCCGAATGGTAGACACAATAGAGAGGTTGAGCACAACAAAAATCGTAAGATTTCGACCCTCCTGGTTCGAGTAACGAAAGTTACTACGAAGATCCGTCCAAACGCGAACGAAACAGAGCTGATCTACGAAAATATTCATCGTAACGTGGAGTACTAAAATACTGATATTTTAGAACTCCCGGTCCTGACTCTCCGTGCGCATGTGCTCGCGCCGTGTCGACCTACTACGAAAAAGTTCACACGTTGTGCGCAACCTCACGATTTACGAATATTCGGTAGCTTTTTTCGTTAAAAATATTCGTTACGGCGCTACGAATTTTCTTTGTGCGCAAATTCTCTAGTAAGAGCTAGTGTTGAAATGCAGACATGGGTGATGGCAGTGTGAATATGCAGACATGTGATCATGTTCTAGCTATGTAACTTTATAGTCACCTGTTGCCACATGACCATCACGAGAAGCCAACGCTAAGTGACCGTCTGCCCATCTCCCATTTAGTGCCTGTACATGTCACGGTCACAAAACCGGCACCAAAAGCCTGAGTTTTATCTCTTCCCGTCGCTGTATGACTTACGCTAGTGTGTTCCTCGCCCTGGCCAAACTTAATGATGTCAGTGCACAGTTACATTCACATATGCATGCTGACACACACTAGCTAGTACGAGTAGTACACATGCCTGCCCAGAGCAATGGAACAGTCAATGCTGTCAGATCATCACTGTTTCCTATCTGTCTGAAAGCACCTTGACCTGTTCGATTTCTTTGCCCTCATCACTGCCCATACCCCTTCCATTGTCTTTGCCTGCATCCCTCCCTCATCCTCCCTTCCATTTTTCCTTGCCCTCATCCCAGCCCATAACCTTGATTATATCACTGACTGGTATCCTTTCAATACCCCTACCCATGCCCCTACCCATGCTCCTACCCATATCCATGCTCCTACCCATACCCATGCTCTTACCCATACCCATACCTACCCCTACCCATGCTCCTACCCATACCCATGCTCCTGCCCATACCCATGCTCCTGCCCATACCCATGCTCCTACCCCTACCCATGCTCCTACCCATACCCATGCTCCTACCCATACCCATGCTCCTACCCATACCATACCTACCCCTACCCATGCTCCTACCCATGCTCCTACCCATACCCATGCTCCTGCCCATACCCATGCTCCTGCCCCTACCCATGCTCCTACCCATACCCATGCTCCTACCCATACCCATGCTCCTACCCATACCCATGCTCCTACCCATACCCATACCTACCCCTACCCATGCTCCTACCCATACCCATGCTCCTGCCCATACCCATGCTCCTACCCCTACCCATGCTCCTACCCATACCCATGCTCCTACCCATACCCATGCTCCTACCCATACCCCTACCCATGCTCCTACCCATACCCATGCTCCTACCCATACCCATACCACTATCACACTACCATACTACCTATACCCATACCTACTGTATAAGTACAAATTTTCGTTTGAAATTCACTTTCGCTATATTCGTTAGGGGGCACGACATTACTAAAGTTTGTACCAAACTAAAGTCTTTTTCTGAACGTTCGGGGTGACAGACCTTGACCAAAAACGAACTTTAGTACGTAACAAGCCTGCTGGTGGAGTAATCTCACGAAAGATTTCGTGAACGAAAATGTGTACAGTGCGTATCGGTTATAGCGTGGTCGTGCAAAATAATATACTGCCTACAATAATGAACTCTCATGTTTTCATAATCATAACATGGGTTTCAAGTGCACATTTATTCTTACAAGCAATTTTATCGTACAGTAGAATATATCGAACTTAGCTCCGGATGGCAGTCGTGAGTCAGTCAAGTGTCAAGTTCGGCAAGAAGCGTGTGTTCCTAGTTGGAACAATCAACTTCATGAAGAATGTATCGGTCCTAAGAATGGACTTTGTGTAGCAAAAACATACCAGATTAGTAGAAAGTATATCACCTGTAGTAATAACATCTGTCCAATGCAGTTCTGATCTGACTCCCGTTGGGTCGTAGACTACGTAGTGCTGCAGGTTCAACTGTTGTGGTCATGTAACTGACGTTGCATAGCCACATGGTAAGCCTATGTGACTATGACCAGCCGCACGCACAGTAACACTACATTGCATATGCGATGATCTTCCTGCCTCTGCGCACATGCACATGATATGTCACACTTGATTTATCGTGTGTAAGAAATATCGGAAATAAGAATAGAAAGTCGTTTTTCAAACACCCACGCTATAACCGTTTTTTTTAAACACCCACGCTATAACCGATACCTACTGTACTTATACAGTATACTGATACCAGGACCCATACCCATGCTCCAACCCCTACCCATGCTCCAACCCATACCCATACCCCTACCCATGCTCCAACCCATACCCCTACCCATGCTCCAACCCATACCCCTACCCATACCCATGCTCCAACCCATACCCCTACCCATGCTCCAACCCATACCCCTACCCATACCCCTACCCCTACCCATGCTCCAACCCATACCCATACCCATGCTCCAACCCATACCCCTACCCATGCTCCAACCCATGCTCCAACACATACCCCTACCCATGCTCCAACCCATACTCATACCCCTACCCATGCTCCTACCCATACCCCTACCCATGCCCCTACCCATGCTCCAACCCATACCCATACCCCTACCCATGCTCCAACCCATACCCCTACCCATGCTCCAACCCATACCCCTACCCATGCTCCAACCCATACCCCTACCCCTACCCATGCTCCAACCCATACTCATACCCATGCTCCAACCCATACCCCTACCCATGCTCCAACCCATACCCCTACCCATGCTCCAACCCATACCCCTACCCATGCTCCAACCCATACCCCTACCCATGCTCCTACCCATACCCCTACCCATACCCCTACCCATGCTCCTACCCATACCCCTAGGCCCTACCCATGCTCCTATCCCTACACCTGCCCATACCCTGCCCATAAACCTAGTTTTATCCTGGCTTCTATTTATCTTACAGCTTCCAGGAACACTCCAAACTCACGCCATGTGGAATTTAATGCTTCAGTGCAAATGCCACCTCCCCACGAGAGGACTCCATGGACGTCACATTCAGCAACGGTCACAGAGCACACACAGCCGCAGTCACAGATGAAGTATATCTCGCCATACAGTCAAGAAGCTATGCGGCGCAGAAGCAATGCAGCAAGGCGGCAGTCCATGCCATCAGCAGGTTAGTCGTAGTACTGTACCTAGACGTGTCACCAGTGTAGATGTCCACTGCGCATTGGTGCTTCGCTGCCTTTCTGTATGATTACATGTTCATGTGTGCTAAGAGAGCAGTAGCAGTAGCAGCTGCAGAAGCACCCACTAGCTAGGGATGGTGGCGGTGGGGGAAGCCGTGACAGCAGCACCCGGCAGCAATCAGGGCCTAGTAGCCACCATTGCTCACACCCAGGTGCTGACCACTTAACCGTAATGACTGGTTCATTGTGGTCTCTTTGCAAAGCAGAATTGGTGGTGCTGGACATGTGAAAATCAGGCTGGACCAGCTATGCTTCACCCCAAAAACAATTTAGATTTTTGATGATTCTTGTAGCAGGTGCCAGTCATGTTTGAGACAAGAAATTGTTGTGTGATTAATCATAGTAAGCTAAGAGAGCAAGCATAGTAGTGGTTGCCACAATGGGATCAGCCACAGTGTCAGGAAACCCGGCAGCAGCAGCAGCAGCCGCCACAGCACAGCTGTTTCAAAATAGTGAAATTGCATGGACCTTGCAAAGCATCATACCACCCAGCCGTTGCCGCTCAAAGTCTTTAGAGATTACTGAAGAGATCTTAGTAGTGATGTCATTATCACTTAACCTCCTATTTTCTTAGTTGTTAGTTGAGAATTGTTGGCATTCATTTCCATGATTGAAAGCATGTAGTTCGGATTACAAGATCCTGTTACATCCACTTGACTGGGCTATTCTGATACCGGTGAGGTTCTGCTATACGTGAAACGTAGAGAAATGACGTAGAGAACAGGTGCCTGGGTTAGAGTCTACGGCTTTGCGCATTTTGGGACCAGATTTGTATGCTGAGATTTGGTTCCCTATGTTGTTGCACATGCAAAGAAAATCCGTGCGGATATTTAGTTTAATTAGTGAGAAAACTGTTAAATTTGAAACGGGAATTTCCGAGTACATATTCCATGGGGTTTTCTTTGCCGAATAAGTTTTCTAGACGTTACGAGAAGGCAAAGATTGTTGACTGGGTTCCGGTGACTTAGAGCAGAACATCACTAATATTACATCTACTGCTGTGGACATTGAAATCTGGTGAGAAGTCATGGGGCCACGGGGCGCTGGCCTTGCAGCCTTCAGTACGCACATGCTACACATTCATTGAATTATGACTCCATTGAATGCTGGACTGTGCCAGTCCATTTTGCAGTGTGTATGTAGACTACAGTGTGTGTGTTGACAGTAAGGGCGCAGGTCCCGGTCATTCCACCGACGAGACAGTAAGGGCGCAGACCCCGGTCATTCCACCGACGGATTTCATCAATGTCCACAACCGTGCTTACTTTAGGAGTAGTGACTTCGACGGCATTGGTGATTGGTGATGAAGTTGGTTTTTCCTACTTGGAACAGACACTTCCTGCCGATCTTGACACTTGACTGACTCACGACTGCCATCCAGAGCACACGAGGAGCATGCCACACCTTCCACTCGGCAAACCTGAAAGAAAGCACCACTCCCTGCTTTAAAAGACACAGTGCTTCGGGGAATTCACCCCTCATCAGTTGAGCTTGAGTAGGCTGAGGAAGATTGTGCCTGAAAAGCACCACATATAGTGCTCTCCAGGTCGAACCATCACCAGGGATACAAACTTACCAAGACGCTCCATTTACACTATTTTACACTAGTTTGCACAAATTTTACAGTGCAACAAACACCTTATGAAGCCCCGAGTAGCAGTGTGAGTCACAGCCGCTCATGGAGTTGTGCTAAACAGACGTTGAGAGCCAGTAGCTATTCACAGCGCTGTCACCTCCAACAACTAGTCGCACGTCCGCGTGAGGGACAACAGTACGAGCTTAGAAATAGCGACTTTAACGCTATTAGTGGTGAAGTCAGTCAAGTGTCAAGTTCGGCATGAAGCGTGTGTTCCACGCAGGAACAACCAACTTCATCACAACATTAGTTGACTAGGTTATTCTGTATGACCGTGGACAACACGTTTGTCTAAAGTAGTACCAGTTTTGACTTGGCACATTGTGCTGTTTGTTCTTGTTGTCGTTATCATAGGATCGGACTTGTTTCAAAGGTATATGAGTCATGAGCTTGGCGCCACCCTGCCAGAAGTAGATTCACGGCCTCTCGTGGCACGTCAGCATCACAGAACTCAATCAGCTCCCGCTAACGGCACCGGTGGAAAACGTGGTGTGATGCAATCGGAGTACAACGAACGTGCAAAGCAAGGTTATCGCTATTGGTATGAAGATAAACCACGGCGCACGTCAAAAAGTATGTACTCGTACATGCAAAGTGGGTGTACTTAGGTATTAAAATGTCTAAAACTTGAATAATTGCACTACTTTAATGCTAACTCTTAGCCTCCCCCCCCCCCCCCCCATACACGCACACGTGTGCGCATACAGCTACACATTGCGTGTCCACAAGTGTCTGTATTATGCACGCTCGCGCGAGTGCGTGTGTGTGTGTGTGTGTGCGCGCGCGTATGGATGAACGTGTATATTTTGGTATCTGGTGTGTATATACGCATAGTGCCATGCATGTGTGTATTTGTGCATGTCCTCTTCGGGTGAGACCCGCGTGACCGGTCATGGCAGTGACTGAGCTAGTACAGTGTTTGTGCAAGTTGCGATGTATGTTGTTTGGTATGTTAGTAGCTAAGTATGCATGTTGGTATGGGTGCACATGTGTATGTAGGTGTATTGTTACGTTGGTGTGTATGTATATAATATTATCTGAAGCCGAGTGAATATGGGCGAATATTCACTAGTATACAAACCGAGGCGAAGCTGAGGTTTGTATAACTAGTGAATATTCGCCCATATTCACGAGGCTGAAGGTAATATTAGACTTATACCTCTCCATATTCACCCTATCGTCCCTAAATGCCTAAAGCTCAACAAACGAGTCACGTTGGTCAAACATGTACGTGTACGCAGAACTAACGTAAGTCGTTGTTGCTTCAGTATCGCAAACCAACTGGCGTGTTCTTGCATGAATCGGAGAGCGGCGTGTTCAGAATCTTGTTCAATCGATCGTGTACACGTACTGGTGCATGTGGCATGGGAGTTGATGACCTTGGAGAACACGCTCGCGCCAATCACCATGGAAAACACACTCATGCTTGACGGGAGCCAATCATCGTCCGTTTTGATGCGAAGATTTGACCAATCCGCGATCATCGCGCCAATTCGGGAGTCGGTTTATAAACAGCGAGCCAAGCGATTCTACCCTCACTTCTTTTCTTTTCAGGCAGTGTTTCGGAGCTGTTGTGTGCCCTAGGAAAATTCTACGCTAACGTCCGTGAACAGTACGAACGAAATTCCTGGCTTGCCGCTTGATCCGCAATCATCGGGCCATTGACATGTTGAGCGTCCAAAACCTTGTTTGCTCGCTGGAACGCTCCGTCTGTGAAGATGCTCACTGCTGGTTGATGACTTATCAGCACCTGGTCACATGCGGATCCAGCGGCAATGGCAAGCAAGGAATTTTGTTTGTACTCGGAAAAGTCCTGTTTACGGAAATTAGAGTGGAAATTTTGTAGGGCATTCGGCAGCTCCGGTGCGCTGACTGAAGAGGAAACAAGCGCAGCACCGAGTACTGCTCTCTTTACAGTAAGTATTGAAAAGTGGTGAATGAAAGCGGTGAATATAAGCGGTGAATAGTCAGCAATATTCACCACTTATGTAGATGGCCAATTGTATGTGGGTGAATATGGAATGAGGTGTAAGTTGGTGTATGTGTTGGTGTATGTGTTGGTGGATATGTTGGTGTATGTGTTGGTGTATGTGTTGGTGTATGTGTTGGTATTCTGTAGGTTCCAAGTACACGATGGGAACTCATGGTACAGTCATTGGTATTGGGAAGACCTCGACCTTTTGAGGAGGTGAGGTGTATTTACAGGCACAATGGTGCAACTGCTGCATGTCCATATTTAGCAGCAGCAGCAGTTCAACATGCACGGGTACCCGGTCCTCAGTGCAGAGGCAGGTTGAGAGATCATGTGACCTCTGCCCTGCTAGGAAGCTCAAATCAACAAAAGAAAACTGATTGATGTACTGTGTGCTAAGCTGAAGATGATACTAGTAGCATTGAACCTAAGTGCAACCCCCAGTCTATGCTGCTCGTTCATCAAAGTCCAATATTTGCGCATTTCATTTTGTTAATGCGATTAATAGTATTAGTGAAGCGGACATTACAAAATGATGAATGAGAATACATGTATCTAAAATGGTTGTTCCTAATCGATTTTCCTGAGACTATCATCAGGGAAAATCGTCTCACAATAGAGTCTATACGGAGAAACAAACTACTTATAGGTTATCGGATAGTGGGAAGTATACAAGGTGAGGTGTGAAAAAAAAACTAAAGTGGGAGAGAAGACGAAAGAAATTAGAAGAAAAAATTTAGTTTTTTTTTCACACCTCACCTTGTATACTTCCCACTATCCGATAACCTATAAGTAGTTTGTTTCTCCGTATAGCCTCTATTGTGAGACGATTTTCCCTGATGATAGTCTCAAGAAAATCGATTAGGAACAACCATTTTAGATACATGTATTCTCATTCATCATTTTGTAATGTCCGCTTCACTAATACTATTAATCGCATTAACCCTTTGAGGCCCATAGTACGGATATATCCGAGTGCATACTTTTCAAAGCGTAACCTGGCGTAACTCGGCTGTCCCTTGACCAAAACGGACAATCGAAAGGGCTATCGACATTAGAATTGTCTCAGCTATCGGCTCGAAAAAACCCGAAAGCGATCTGAGTTCGGTGAGCGGGGAGATACGAGACTCGAACTAAATTCGCTCAGCAGAGTCAACTCGAGCGCGTGCATTTTGAACTCGTTTTTAGGGGTTTTCCCTGACTCGCGGCCCACGCAGCTACAGATAGTTCACGTCATCGCAAAGGCATGTTTCTCAGCTCTCCAGGAAAAAAATTTGAGCGATCTGCGATGCAATTTGTTGAAATGGCAGAGAATTTGAGTTGGGCGCTCGCAATGCTGGCTTTGGAGCGCCGTATCGCGCTGCGGCGCTGGTTCTGTGGATCGAGTGATGTATTGCTGGCTATCGCTGTGTTCCTCTGGCCAAGAGCTTTCCAGAAAGCCCAAGATCACCAAAATCGGCCAAAGGACACCAAAGTTACGACCAGAAAAGTACCTGGGCTCGCGTATGCAGTGCATTTCTTGAAATAATTGTGGGCCCGAAAGGGTTAAAGTTATTGTCTCCTCGTCGCCTTTTCATTTCATTTTGTTTCAACCCCAACAATCCACAGTGGAGGGCAGCCCACATCAAGTCCCGGGGAGCGACTCAGCGTTGAATGAATAGCTGTATGCATACGTTTAAAAAATATCAACCCTAGTATGTATGGAAGTGCTCCTCTAACCCTAGTATGTATGGAAGTGCACCTCTAACTGTGTTGTTCATAATCTATCTCTGTGCACGTGTGCGTGCATGTGTGTGTGTGCATGGTGTGTGTATATGTGTGGTGTGTGTGTGTGCACGCGCGTGTGTGTGTGTGTGTGTGTGGACGTGTGTGGGAGCGCATGTGTGTATATATGTGTGTATGTATGTGCATGGGTTTATGTTCATGTGTGGCATGTGTGCGCATGGGTGACTGGAAATGTTTGTTCGACTAACAGCACAGTTGACACTGCCAGTTTGTGACGTTAATCTTCACCTTCTCGGACACATGGAACAGTGCTTCAACCGGAACGATGTCATTTCTGACACATGGAATAGTGCATCAATTCGGATGATGTCATGAAGCCATCAGATAGCAGTGTGCTTCTAGATCCTCATCAATTCGGATGATGTCATGAAGCCACCAGATAGCAGTGTGCTTCTAGATCCTCTAGTTCTCACATCATAGGGTTTTCTTCTTCGGGTGAAACATTACTTGAAGTCGTGAAGTCGTGAAAATGTGTTGACAGAACGCAGAGTGTAGTACCGGAAACCTACACTGGTACTATTTCATTAATGCATTGGACGGTTGTACCGCTCAAGTAGTGTGCTACCATGGTGTCCATGCAGTGAAACAGCAATTATACCATGGCCAGAGCGATGGGTTTCTTTTCATGTTTCTGATTAAATTGCTACAATATTATGATATTGAACCCTTTTGAAAAGTACATGATTGTATCTTCCATCTGATTGATATCAATTTGGAATATGCCTTAGTACTGTACTGGAGATATTCTGCTTTATATGAAACGAAGATATTATGAAGAACCTATGTCTGGGTTTGCGTTCGGGGCTAGGCTTGGCATACGGCTCACATACAAAGAGGATACCGGCATAGTAGTACATAATCCTGGCCTTCGCTGATGGGTGTCTGAAGTATGTGCTGTGTCTGTGTTCATCTACACCACTTACTCTGGTGCGGTGAGCCCATACTTGGGATTGTTTCTGGCAGTGAACAAGTATGAGCATTTCTGTGTGTGCGTGCTAAGTGTATGCGGGTGTGTGTGTGTGCGCGCGCGCGTGTGTGTGTATGCACATTGTGTGATTGTGTGTGTGTGTACATTTGTATTTATGGATTCTCCACAGGCCTTAGCCTATATCGAGTGTGTGCGGGTGTGGGTGTGGGTGTGTGTGGTGTGTGTGGGTGTGTGTGTGTGTTAGACAGTTCGCATTGCTGGGTGGACGACTCCTTGCTAAAACATTGTTCTCAACGCCGTGCTCATCATTAGTTCACGCATTGTTATCATCGTGGGGCGTTTTCAAACATGTATGCAACACATGGCTTTAATCTTTTCCTTTTATATTGTGTCTTTCCCTCAAACTAGTCAAAACGTTTTTATTTTGATGTGATTTTCTCAGGGAGTCGTCTTATGTTTACGACCCTCTTGATCTCATCTGATTTGTATCAGATCACACCTCAGTCACCTCAGTTACAGAACAACTCATGATAGTCTATACTAACAAGGCACCTGGCACTACTCAGTGCAGTGCTGCTTGATCGCGCGAGTCAAAAAACTTAGTTTGCGCCTGGCACCATTTCGCAGCCCAGTGTCAGTGTTCGCAGGCCTAGGCTAGGGGCTGCGCAACGCCCAACACCTTATCTGAGTAACTCGATCAGATTGCAGGAGTGTCTTATCTACCTCAAAACCACTTCTGCTCCTTTTCTTTACAAGTTCTTGAAGTAGTTGCATATCCAAAGGCAACCGCATACCAGTATTAATTTTTTACATTAATTTTGTCGCTAGTCTCGTATCGATCGTGTGTGTATCATGGATAATCAGTATACAGTAGTCATGTAGTCATGTGCAGGAAAGGCAGCTGACGAGTGCGCGCCCGGGTCCAGCCTGCAGTCGACATGCTTGAAAGGAAAGCTTTCGCCGCAGAGTGTCGAGCCTGCAAGAGGCAAGCAAAACTCGAAAGCCGACAGGACAGGAAAACTGGACAGTTCTCAGTCAGTACCAGTGGAGAACCTGAGAAATAATTCGGTTTGAAAAGAGTGTCTCCTAGTGTTGCTCGTTGAGCACTCGAACCATAGCCTTGTCTTCACCGTACGGACACTAGCAGGTATGGGACCAGCGAACAAACTATTTACATGTCTCTACTACTGCATAGCGTATTTGTAACGCGCACGTTTTGCTTTTTTGGTTTTCAGGAGTCAGGAGCACACCGCGTACCGCCTCTCGACCAACAGTACCCTACTACAGTACTAGTTACTAAGTAGTATATGAGTGAAAGTACAGCTCCGACGACCAACTTCATGTGCTACAGACTAAAGCTTATCTCCATCATTACAGGTATGTACACTATGTAAGTACTAGTAGCCATTTTACCCTGGAAAGCATGCACTTGTTATACTGAAACATACCTGAATATAACACAACCTGAACATGTACGGATACTATAACCTAACCAGTTGATTAGATGGGAAATTTGTATAATAATTATACTATACACTAATTACTCACGGCTGGCACTGCCATTCGTGCGATTATTGGCTGGTATTGCCCTAGTACTTGGTCAACATACATATACAAACCAAGGCACAGCCGAGGTATATACTAGCTAGTTACATGTAGTTCATATTTCCGTAATCAAGTAATTCGGTTTCGAAGGAAAGTTGGTTGCTCCCCACACCAGAGCTTGCATTATTCCGCCGACTACTTGACTGACTCACGCCTGACATCCAGAGCACCCTGCACGAGAAGCACACAATCTTCCTCAGCCTACTACGTGACTCAAGCTCAAGTGATGACGGGTGAATTCCCAGCAACACTGTTATTTGAGCAGGGAGTGGTGCTTGCTTGCATGTTTGCCGAGTCTAAGGTTCAATGGACTTCTCGTGTGCTCTGGATGGCAGTCATGAGTCAGTCAAGTGCTAGTCAAGTTGGCAGTAAAACACAAGCTCCGGTGTGGGGAGCAGCCATTTCCCTCTAAAATACAGGCTGAAGTCGGTACCACTATCTCGCGATTGGGGTTAAATTATGCCTTATCCGGAGCTGAATACACACTCTCCTCTCCCCGCAGAAGAAGAGTAGTTCCACTTCACAACCAAGCATCGACAGGCCTTTCTTTCTCCATGACTGTACTATGTGTGTGTGTGTGTGGAGTACACCCGGTGCAAATCAAAGTACCGTGTAGTATGGACAATACAAGTCTGGAGTGTTGTGTAGGGAGAAAAGGGAGTTAGTATTTAAGGTACGTGTGAGTTTAATACAGGAGTTTGGCTATCTTTGTGTGTCTACCACTCTGCACTCTGTTGCAATGAGCAGTCTCTTTCAAGCTTCCCCTCTGTACCCTGAATCCAGATCAAACATGGTCAAATTTCAGATTTTGCTCAAAGTTGGCTCCAATTATCCCGGGGTGGACCTCATTCACCCACTATGACAGTTTCGTCGAGAGACCCTCCGTTCCTTGGATATTGGACGAAGTCAAAATTATTACTAAATTACACACTGAAACAAGGTACAAGAACGAGGGATCATAGCTTCTCCCAGCAAAACAGTGCAGCCAAATCAACTATGTCCGCATGCTAGCCCAAGTTTTTTGCAATATTTAGCCATCAAACTGGTGGCAGGAGACTTACTGAGTCCCTTGCACAACACGATCAATTCCACCTGTCCAATGGCGGCCATTACATAGACCATCTTCAAGGGCCAGTAGCAACAAGGGCACGTCCTGAAATGAGGGGTATACCACCACCACAGTCTGCTACATGTCCCAGTGGTCTTGAATAAAAAATGAATAAATAATTCGACGGGTTCGCGTACCGGGCAGGTCAAGAACAAGGAGTCGCACAACTCCCTGGTCAAGAACCACCTTTCCGCTTCATTAAAACTCACTTGGTGAAATATTCAAATATTGAAGTCTCCAATGGCTAGCACTCCCAGAGTCAAACCTTGTGGCAGGAGAGCACACAAGGAGAGCTGGCATATGCCTTTTGACTAGGCTACCTGCGCTGGAACAATAGGGGAACAATCCTGGCCCTCCCAAAAACTTGAATGAAGCTACCATGAAGCGCCACTTGCTGGACAACAGTGCAACATTCCAAGATTGAAGATCTGGTCCACAACAACAAAACAGCAATGATACAACAGTCAGACAAGATAGATCCAAAATTTCTAGTGGAGTTGGCAGCTAGAACACAAAATGTCCGTCCTGTTTGGGGCATGGCCGTGGCCCTCCAGAATCTAGAAAAGTGCATGATGACATCTACACACGCACACGAACTGCGTGTACTCATAGCAAACTGAGAGAAATTCAATTTTTGGTTTGAGCGTGACACGTCTGGAACACTCACGTTCACTAGCTTCCCAGTACATAAGACATTTCCCAGGATCTTGTGGGACTGTTGCAGTCCTTGCTGAGTCCTTGTTGATTAGTTGTGGTGGACCAGATCTTCTTACTCGCCATGTTGTGCTGTTGTTCGACAAGTGACGTCCTGTAGCGACTTCATTCAACTTTCAGCGAGGGCAGAGACTGTTCCTAGTACTGTTTTAATGCTGATAGTCCCGGCCTGGGAAAAGGCATGTGCCAGCAATCCTTGTGTACTTTACTGCCGCAAGGTTGGATCCTGTGAGTGCTTGTCTATTGGAGAGTTCAAAATTTTATTCATTCCCCAAGTATTTTTATTCATGAGTTGAGGGAGTTGAAAAGGGGAAAATAATTTGTTACTGTCCCCATGAGGACAAACTTAGGACCAGGGACTTCCACCATAGGCTAGTAATGCTCTGACCTGATGACTGAGCTATAGTGGTGTAGTGATGCTCTGGATGACTGAGCTATGGTGTAGTGATCTTGAGTGAATAACTTCTAAATTCAAAACCACCTGCTGGAGCTTGGAGACATGTTATAGCAGACTATGGGGATGATCTACCGCACATTTCAAGACGTACCCTCGCTGCTGCTGGCCGTTGAAGATGGCCTATGCGATGGCCGCCATTGCACAGGTTGAAATGATTGATTCATGCGAGGGACTGGGCAAGTCAACAGTTTGATGGCTAAATATTACAAGGAAACTTGGATTGGTATACTTGCATAATTGGTATGGCTGTGCTATTTTGTTGTGAGAAGCTGTGACCCTTCGTTCTTGTACCTTGCAGTTCAGTATGTAATTTAGCCAAACTTTGACTATGAGCCCAATACGCCAGTAACTCTGGTCTCTGGGCCAATGTGTCATAGGGGTGATTGAATAGGGGGTGATTGATGTCCACAAATACAACACAAACATACAGACTGAACTGACGAACACATCGTGAGACACGACCAGCATCTTAGTCGCTGATGAAGGGCAGATTGAGGACTGGCCAGTTGAATTGCTTACGACTGCGCTCGTTGTAGTGCTGTTGTTGCTGAGACAGGTTTCTATCTTGCCTTTGTGCTTCTCCTGGCTGTTCCCCCTGCTGTGTTGATCTCGGTCTGTGGATAGTTAATCGTTTTCTGAATTAACTCTTCCGTTGTGGACATTATCCTGTCTTAGGCTTCCGGTGTTGACAGATTATGAATACTAGCCCAGGAGAATTGTTTTGTGGCGACTACTGTTTTACATGCCTACATGTGTAGACAGGACTCCTACATGAGGTGAACATTTCTGTGGGATGGTTTGACAAAGAGCGCCCATTCTACTCCCACTCTATAATGTAGTCTTCTTTCATGCACAGACAACAGCCCTCGGTCAAAGAAATGTACCTACCTATCCTTTGACCAGTTGTTCCACTGTCAAACCCAAGTTAGACCAAATATCTACAAATGAAACTGACAGCACAACAATATTACATTCGCAGTGGAATATTCGATCAACGAATCTCGGTCGGTAAACTTTCTCGATCTAATGCTGTCTGGGGATGGAAGCGGCATTGAGTCCAGAGAACAGTGTCTCAAGCCTCTTGTACGGGCAAAAATACCGTCTTTATCAATAATAGAAATGCAAGTAAATCCCAAAACAATTTTAAAATGTAAAGAACTCAAAGCAAATGAAAAAAACTCAATGCAAATGAAAAGGACCCAAAGATAAAGGAAAGAACCCAACCAGCCGCACACGGAGCACACAAGAGGCAACAGCATAAATATGTAAACTTCCTCAAAAAGCGCATCAGTGAAATCCATGAATTTAGACCGGAACTTGAGCCTCCGACACAGCTAGTGCAGCAGACGAAGCACCAACCTCCAGAACCACGGGACGTCCGAACAGCTTCCTGCAGCCACGGAGACACATAATACAATACCTAAGTAGCGAGAAAGACAACTTACATCGAACATAGGCCATGACGTGACAATACTGCTCGGACTCCTTTGCTGCCAGAAGAGCGGCCAGTCGTACTGGTGAAAGGCTGAAAACCAGGTTACTGAAGATGTATGGTCTTAAAATCTACTTGATACATTGCCGCACTCTGCAAATGAATGCTAAGAAACAAGAAAAGCAACAAGAAAGTGAAGTACCGTATTTTCCGGAGTATACGCCGCACCCGGGTTTTTTGGTCATGAAATACAGACATCGACTCTATTCATCACCGTCAATTTGATCATCGTAATAAAATCCACACCGCCCTTTCCAGGTGAATTACTGGTTAAAGTGCGGCCTTCACTCCAGAAAATGCAATACTGCTGTTTGATGTTGCTTATGTGACGGTCATTTATCCGGCATGTGGGTTATCCAACAGCACCCTGACAGCTCATAGAGTGTACCGGTACATGTACTCTTAATTACAGTCATACTTCAAGTACATGTGGACAGTGAGCACCATCAGCGCTAACAATTGATTTGCTTTTCTGTGCTGATTTCCAATGTGTTTCTCCTATGTGTTGAGATCATGACTGGTTCATTTGTTGGTGGTATCAACATTGGCTTCTTCACGCTATTTGCCCACATCGACCAAGTTTCCATTATCATTACATTCACTGTAGCTTCTAGCACCGCTCCTGTCTCCACTACTGTGACTCCAGGGTCCGTTGAGTCCTTTGAGGCAATTGTCAAGATGCCCAGTGTTCACTCTAGGCCGAAGACTGAGACCTCAACAATTGTAAGTAACACTTTTCAAATACTGTAAGTCTACAAATATTCGGCGCATATTTATTTTTGGCTAATATCAGCCTGGGCATTTTTTGGCCTAGATTTGTTGTGGCTGAAAATTAGGTTTGCAAGTCTCAGTGTGACGGTCTATACAGGCAGCAGCAGAACAGGCTGAAAGTTTACTGTGGTCGAAATCTGTTTTTGCCCTGGGAGGCTGAAATTTAAACGCGCCGATGATTTATATGCTTGCAGTAAGTAGTGCATGGCTGAAAACCACTTGCGGCAATGGTGGAGATGTTGCTTGGTATAGCTTCCCTCCAGTTGTACCACGTCTATGCAAGTAAAATTGTAGCCGTACTTCACGAACAGTCAATGTGATTTTTCATTGACCCAAAGACTTCAATAATGCTCTAAGCACTGTCCATGTTTCACTTTCTGTTCTAGTTCCACATAGTAAGCATACATACTGATAGTTCAACTTGCACACACTCTCATCTTTCTATAGCCGTGGTGTGGCGCATATTCACTGATGCATTCACCCACTACATGTACCTGTATTTATCACATTAAATCGATTCTCAACCGTGTCCCTCCGTTCCTGGGATAGCGACGAGGAAATGCCATGGTACCACACAGCGGGTGATCATTCACTATTGAACAGAGAGTCCTTGTCGTCTGGCTCTCGTGTATGTGCCAGCGCAGTAGTTACACCACATTTGCAAACAGTTCGACACTCGAGTACAACCCCATCACAAAATCCCGTGCCAGACCAGCCAAGAATCACGGCTCTGGGTTGAATGAAGAATTGGTCAAAACGATAAAGAGAAAGGAGGATATCACCAACCGAGATGAGCAGAACAAAAAAGGACAAGAAACTCTGCAGCTAGAAAACCACTTATCACTCGTACATGCTAGTTGTGGATGCAAACGTTATTGTCATGGAAGCAAACGTTATTGTCATGGAAGCAAACACATGTTATAATGTCCCATAGTGTCTTTATAATTATATTAAAGCATGTCTCATGTAGAAGCCTGTGTTGAATAGAAGCCTGATTTTCAAGATGCACTGTCAGCACATCAGCCTGGTTTTAGTGTTAATACACATAGAAATATGCGGTTTGAATACAAGTCTGATGTGAGTAGAAGGCTAGCCCAGACATCGGCTTCTACAGGAAGAGGCCCGGCATTAGTATGCGACATTACAGTTACCGGCATTAGTATGCGACATTACAGTTACAGTTGTACATGTACGTCCAGAGTAAAAGATCAAGTCAATGAATGCATGAGAAGGTCTAGAACAAGGATCACCAGCACGCGTCATAATGTCCGTACGTTCAATGGGATAACTCCCCTCCTCCCCCTCCCCCCCCCCCCCCTGCTGACACACACACACACATAAAATAATGAACAGATCAAGAGTTCCCAGTTTCGCCAGGATAAGCATTCACCATGGAACCCGATAGAGGCGCCAACAATCCAGAAAACGCCTCTTCAATCTGCGTTGGCGAGTAGCAATGAGACAAGCTGATTGTGCCAATCAAATTTTTGCTCAGATCTCTCGTCATTTTGAGGGAAGCATATTCCCGCTGGACACTGAGGAGATAGTTGCCCCTATCGCAAGCTTTTAATGAAATGTAAATGATCTCGAGTATGCGATCGGAAACTGACTATGATGTACATTTTCCTGAGTTGTTCTAGGCCAACACAAACTAGTAGCCTAGGACTTAGCATAGAGAGATCACCCAACAAGATCATCCTGTGCGAGCACGTAACACCAGAGGCAGGAATATAGCGATCCGCTTGGCGGTACAGCCGTCGAGAGGCTGCGTGTAGAATTGTGTTGCTATAGAAACAGGACTCTCAATGCTATAGAAACAGGACACTCAATGCACATAAGTACATTAGTTCAATTGTCTGCGAGGGCTGATGTGCGTGTACTCTGCGGACTTGGTGCACATCAGCAGTGCCCATGCCTCCTCTTAATTACATTGAAGGTTGGTGCATACAGTGCCATACTGCATAGACTGTAGTGTCGGGTGGTGAAGAACAAACAGGCTAGGATTTCACCAAGCACAGCATCCCAATGTATGCAATGTATACATGGTATGTTGACTCAACTGTGCATAGACTGTAATACATGAAAATAAGAATGTCCTAGGCTACGAGGCTGACCCCCGTCCAGATCTTCATTACCCGACAGTACTGTACTGTGGTAAGCTGGTGGTGGGTGAACACACTGACTGGCGAGTAACTGTTAGTTCTTGCTACCTTGCAAAGAACAGTTTACTTCACATCTGTATGTTAGTCTGCCAGATGACCAATATGGCATAGCGTACACACACACTTTCTCTTAGCGGTGCCCTGGCGCGGCTGGTATTTATGTGTATGTGTGACATAATATGCTGTGACTTGGCGTAGCAGTGTGACAAGGATGTCTGCGCTGCGGTATATGCGGTCATATGCCTGTGCATGTTGGGGATGGAGGGGGAGGCAGTGGGGGGGGGGGGCAGGGGCAACAAACAGGTCAACCATTATATTTCTGTGCGGGTTGGAGGTTAATAGCAAGAATGACAAGGCTACTTGGGGCTTCAGGGCTCTCGAAAATATAGATATTTTAATATATTTACTTGTAGAATGTCCAATCCTCTCTCAGAAAAGCAGCCAGTAAAATAGGAAGCATTGGAATTTGTTGTTTGTAGTTGATTTAATTGAAGTGTCTGCACCATTTTCCTTTCTATTTGTTTGAAGGTGGTGGTTACCTTGCAATCTTCGCTGGCCTGGTAAGTCTAGCTGTGGCTTGTCATTTCATATAGTGCATGCCTGTGTCATCAGCTCTCCAAGCAGAATGGCCATTTTATACAGGACATTTAAGAACGTGTGGTCTTGTAGGTGCTGAATTAGAATGGTTGTAAGTCCAAAGATGCCATGATACACCATTCCTCAAATAACGTGGGCTTCCCAATCAGCCAATAAGCCCTCTATAATACCTGTTTGCCCTCTGGCTGGAAGCACAGCGACATGACTGTTGCACAATATGCATGTAGGTGAATGTGGAAATTTCTGACAAACGATGCATCGCAGCCTTCTGTCCCAGCCCCTTTGTGCTATTTGAGGCACTCGTACATGGCAAGAATATCCCAGTGCGTCATTGCCATGCTATAACACTGCCATAAGTACCGTACCCCCAGGGTGTTAGCCGCACCGGAGTCTAAGCCACACCCCCCCCCCTTCTTAGGCCCAAAGGTTATAATCTTTATTGACATTCAAAAGCCTGTATCTTCAAAAGCCTGTATCTTCAAAAGCCTATATCTTCAAAAGCCTGTATCTCAAACTACACACTGTGTACCTAAGTCATCATTCCTACCTGGCCCGTGTACACCTACACTGAGACGTTTAAGTGCTGTCGTGGACATGGAAATCCGGTCGAATTACCGGGGGCCGGCGCCCTCAGTGCATACCGAACGTTCCATGCAGTGCACATGTTGATCCGATGCGACCAGCGCTGCAGCGCACAAAAGAATGTGTGTACCGTATGCATACTCACGGCTGCATGGCTAGCGCCCTGGGCCTGCTTGTCCACCGACCGAATTTCCATGTCACGACAGTATGTCTAATGTGGAAACGGCCAAGTCGGCAGCTTCAGCTGCACTATTGTCCCCGGCAAACAAGACTAGCAATGAGCCGGTGCACGGTGCAACGCTTATACCCGATTTCTGTATTGCTAATGCAGTGCGTGTTTCTGCGTGTGTTGTGTGTCGTGTGTGTGTGTGTACGTGTACGCGCGCGTGTGTGTATGTGTATGTGTGTGTGAGCGTGCTTGCGTGCGTGTGGTGTGTGTGTGTGTGTATATGTGTGCGTGCATTTGACCACGCGCCAGCGGAAGCCCATCTCTGCAGTCATCCTGCCGCTCCACTGTCCGCCCCGCCGTCTATTCTGGCCGAGTCCTCGGATACCCTCCCGCTGAGAGCTGTCACGGCCGTCACTGAGCCAGTTCTGTTCTACATCCACTGTACCGCTAACACCAGTCTATTCGTTCAAGGTACGTTACTTTCTAGTGGGTCTAGTTATGCAGTGTCATGTCTAGGGGATAAAGTTGCTGCTATCACCTTAGGTAACATTCCTATTACCATAAAGTCGCGGATAAAAGCCGGGCTTATAAGCATATAAGCCGCTTTCTGCATCAGGCTTTAATGCACCACTGATATGGTGGATCGACGCGACACTCGTAGATCTACCACTGACTACTGGTATGGCGGCAGTTTTACTATGCACCGTACATAGCGCATGCACTCTTGACCTACCCGATCCGCGCTTGCATAGAAGCCAGGTTTCTACGCGCAACGGGCTTATATGCATTTGACCCGTTTGATTTTCAGGCTTCTATCCGCGATGTGCTTGTATGTAAACTCGGCTTATATCCGCGACTTTGCGGTATCCAAGCTTTACATGTTGAGAATTTCCTACGTCTGGCTTCTGAGTTAGATGCCCAGGCATTGTACACCGCTGGTGTGGCACCCTAGACATGACTGAGTCAATGTCTATAATGACCCAATACCACCGGACATGGCCAAATTTCCTATTTCGCTCAAAGTTGGCTCCTTTCCTCCCAAGGTGGACCTCATTCACCCACTATGACATTTTGGTGCAGGGACCCTCCGTTCTTCGGATATTGGGCAAAATCAAAATCGACTAAAATACGCACTGAAACAACTTTAAAGGTACAAGAACGAGGTGTCACTGCCGCTCGCAACAACACAGCGCAGCCAAACCAACTAAGCTTGTACACCGATCCAAGTTACCTTGTAATATTTAGCCATCCAAATGTTGACTGCTGACTAGTCCCTGAAACGAATCGATCAATTGAGCCCGTCCAATGGCAGCCATTACGAAGGCCATCTTCAAGGGCCAGTAGCAGCGAGGTTACGTCCTGAAATTTGGGGTAGGCCACCGACATAGTCTGCTACAACCTGTCCGAAGCGCCAAAAAGTGCCCTTGAATAGAGTTATCCACTGAAAATCGCTTGGGGGGGGGGGAAGGGGGTATAATCAAATTTCAAACTCTCCAAAGGCCGTAAACTAGCCAAATCCAACTTGCAGCAGAAAAGCACACACGGTGTGCCTCCATATGCCTTTTCGCTCGGCTACCAGGACTGAGACATCACAGGAATAATCCCTGCCCTCGAAGACGCCAGGAGCGTCACTTGCTGAACAACAGCACATGACAAGAAAGAAAAATTGGTCTGGAACAACAAAACAGCAAGGAGTGCAACAGTAGCGTAAGATCGCCCAGTTCTCGTGTATGTGTAATGGGCAGCTAGTGCACGCGAGCTTCCCATGTGAATTGATGTCGTGCCGTGCAAGTTGGAAATCACAACATGGCAGGCGTGCACTTGAGAATTACAGTTGGAAAATCAAGAATAAAATCTTTTATCTTTGGGGCACAGCCGTGGACAAACGGGGCCTGAAAAATGCATGATGTAACTGCGTGAGCATGTGCTCATAGCAACATACGAGGAATTTTGAAGTTTTGGCGTGAACGTAGCTTGCACGTGACAGTCGCGTGCAGTAGCTGCCCAGTACAGAAGAATATTTTCTGGTTGATCTTGCGCTACTGTTGCAGTCCTTGCTGATTTGTGGGTGTGGACCAGGTATTCTGGTCATGCTGTGCTGTTGTTCAGCAAGTGAAACTTCCTGGCGGCGTCTTTCGATTTTCTGCGAGGGCAGAGATTATTCCCGTGATGTATCAGTCCTGGTAGCCAAGCAAAACAGCATGTCACCGTGGAGGTGTTCCGTGTGTGCTTTTCTGCTGCGAGGTCGGATTTGACTAGTGCATGGCCGTTGGAGAGTTAACACTTTGATTATTTCCCCAAGTGTTCTTTAGTGGGACAGACATCACTAAAAAAGTGTTCTTTAGTGGGACAGACATCACTAAAAAAGTGATTTTTAGTGGATAACTTTTTTCAAGGCCATTTGTTGGCGCTTACGGACATGTTGTAGCAGACCATGGTGGTTGTCCACCCCAACTTTCAGGACGTAACCTCGCTGCTACTGGCTCTTGAACATGGCCTACGTTATGGCCACCATTGGACAGGCTGAATTGATCGATTCGTTTGAGGGACTCTGGAAGCCGCCAGTCGCCATTTGGATGGCTAAACATTACCAGGTAACTAGGATCTGTAGTTGCCAGTGGTTTGGCTGCGCTGTGTTGCTGTGAGCAGCAGTGGCCTCTCGTTTTTAAACCTTGTTTCCGTGTATATTAACCCTTTAAGAGCCGCCCCATACTTGAATGCGTCGAAAACGACGCATTCAAATGCAAAACTTCAAAAGATCGTAACTCAGTCCAATCTCGCTCAAATCCAGTGATCGAAATATCCAGGGCGAAGAGAAAACTCTCACCTGTCGGGAGAAACAATCCGCGAAGCACTGCGAGCCACGGTTCCTGAGATAAATCACTCGTAAGTTGAGCCGCGATCGCGGCAATTTCAAAAGCGCGCAGTGCGACTTTAGTACTGAGAATTTTGAGACTTTTCGCCACGCTGGTTTACTCGATTTGCACGGGTTTCACTGTTGATATTGTCAAGAGTACACAGCGAAAAAAATTGGAACTCCACGATCGAGTAAAATGAAATATCTGGAGCGGGACGCAATTGGACGCATTTGGGGCATTTTTCGTACTGTCGCTGCGATCTAGCGCTGGCTAGACAGTGTGCTGGCTATCATGATCGACCTCATTCTCTTCCTCTCGCGGAGACCTTTCCAGGAAGCCCTAGATTGTGAGGATTGAGTGAGTAGAACTGAAGCTATGATCCAAGGAACACGAAAAAATGCAGAATTTTGAAAATTTCCTGTGGCTCTTAAAGGGTTAAGTCGAGATTTTATATTTTGCCCGATATCCAAGGAACCCTGGACCAAAATGTCATAGTGGGTGAATGAGGTCTGCCCAGACGTAAAAGGAGGCAATTTTGAGCGGAATCCGTAATTTGGCCATGTCCGGTGATATTTTGTCGTTATTGACATTGACTCTTAAAGGGGAAGTTAAGGCAAAAATTAAAATCTCATCAGTTGTAGTCTTCGGGGTGCTGAGTCGAATGGTCGTGGTCCGAGGAAGCTGAGACGCTCCCTTCCTACTTGAATCCCAATCGAACTCGCGTACTTCCACCGAAACTGGGTGACTGCGCCCTACTAGATGGGGATTTGTATGCAAAATGTCACTAAAAGCGCCATTTCGTTCTTATAAAAGCATGGATGACCGCGATTGGCCCATATGTTGTAGTCTTTTGGACGCTGAGTCGATTGGGTTTGGTCCGAAAAGGCTGCGATGGAGCGTTCCTCCTTTATTCCCAATCGAACATGGTTGAACAAGCGGTCACGTGCTCCTGCGTACACCAGTCACCTGGTCACCGTGCCTGCAGGGTACAACTTACTAGCCTGTTTGACCTTTTTTGAGTGCAGTCCTGTCACTCGAGTTGAACTCGAGTTGAACCTTGGTGTGAAAGTTGTCGCCTGCTGGCGTGGTGACCAGGTGATTTGGGCACCCAGGAGCACGTGACCACTTGTTCAACCATGTTCGATTGGGAATACAGGAGGAACGCTGCATCGCAGCCTTTTCGGACCAAAACCAGTCGACTCAGCGTCCAAAAGACTACAACATATGGGCCAATCGCGGTCATCCGTGCTTTTATAAGAACGAAATGGCGCTTTTAGTGACATTTTGCATACAAATCCCCATCTAGTAGGGCGCAGTCACCCAGTTTCGGTGGAAGTGCGCGAGTTCGATTGGGATTCAAGTAGGAAGGGAGCGTCTCAGCTTTCTCGGACCAAGACCATTCGACTCAGCACCCCGAAGACTACAACTGGTGAAATTTTAATTTTTGCCTTAACTTCCCCTCGATCGAACTTTCAGCCAGAACCGAAGAATGCTTATTGGCGCCGATGTCTTGGCATGCTAAGGTGCGCCTTAATGGAGAACCCCGTTTAACTTAAGCAGAGCACACCGTCCCATTCCGCAGGGAACGGGGCGGGTAGGTGGTGGTGGGGGTGGGGGGGGGGGGGGTAGTGCTGCGCTGGTCCACCAGGTTAGGCGGTGACGTTACAGAATACATTGTGGTTCGGGGTTTCAACCCTGTTTATCATGTTAACAAGTCTTTGCAGCCAAGCCCGGCTTGGTTTGTAAGTTGGCTGTGGCCATCACCTTCATTATCGCATTGCAACTTTCTAGTCCGGGCTGGGATATTTCGTCGCCATTTTGTTCCCTTCCCCAGTTGCCCTCCCAGGTGGTCCCCTTCCGGTTGCTCAACCTGATCATTATCACATTTCAGTAGTGTCGACTGTTGAGGTTCCACCATGGTCCCAAAGGATGTTGCGGGGTGAAATTTGCACTCCCCCAAGTATGGTTGGTCCAGTGGAGTCGTGTAGATAAGGATGTGGTGTACGTCCACCTCGGCTGTATGCATTATCTCTTGTGTGATGTTCCATGGTGTCTGAAAAACCTCTCTGGTGTTCCCATCTGTCTGGAGCGTGGTATGCGTGTAGGGTGTGGCAGTGGGTGTGCAGTCAGCGACATCCACCTGTAACCCAGTGGAGCGTTTTGACCTCTCCTGATTTACTGGCACTGCGGACCAACGCCAACATCTGGTGAGTTTGTTAAACAGTTTTTACGATGTCATTGCAGGGGATGATTGTGATGTTTTGAGAAACCACCCTCTTGAATCATAGCATCGGCACTAGCACCACACGGCCATTTCGGCAGGGACTGTGACACCTTCCCCTCCCAGGGTAATGATTGTGGCCAAAGAGGTCGAGAACATGTTAGAGAAGGGCAGCATCTCCGCTTGCGTGTCCCCTTAGGCTAGTCCGACTGTGTTGGTGCAGAAACCTGATGGTTCTGTTAGGTTCTGTGTGGATTATCGAAAGCTGAATGATGCCATTCATAAAGATTCGTAGTTTTGTACCCATTGCCTAGAAAAGACGACACGTTGGATAGGCTTGGTGAGGCGCAATACCTACAGTTGGTGTACTGGCAGGTGTCAGTGGCAGGGAGGGACTAGCAGAAATTGTGTCAGTGGCGGGGAGGGACTAGCAGAAATTGTGTCAGTGGCAGGGAGGGACCAGCAGAAATTGTATCCATCACTCTGCATGCCCTTTGGCCTCTGCAATGCTCCTGCAACTTTCCAGCGGATGATGCGTACAGTTCTGCCCCCCCCCCCCACCGTCTGGTGTATTTAGATGTCACGTGTTTTCTCGCACATTTAGTGAACACTTGTTGCGATTGGAGGCTGTGTCTACCGTGTTACGACGTGCTTGACTCAAAAGTAGACCACGCAAGTGTTCATCTATTGCTATCAGAAGTCCGCTTCCTAGGGCATGTAGTGTCGGTAAAACGTATTTCAACCGATCTGTGCAAAGTGCAGGTAGTGCAGGTAGTGCAGGTAGTGCGGGTAGTGCGGGTAGTGCGGGTAGTGCGGGTAGTGCGGGTAGTGCGGGTAGTGCAGGTAGTGCAGGTAATGCAGGAGTGGAAAAAGCCAACCATCATACTTTTAAAACTTACTATTGGCGGTTCTTAAAGAGTCGGCGTGGAGAAAGCAATTTTATTAGTGCAATTAGGAGATGCAGACATGGCCAGACAACAACGAGTTCATGGAATTTTTAAGGATTTTTATGTTATTCAAAATCGATTTTCGTGTTCCGCTCATCAGTGAATAGTATCGGAACTGAGGGTACTGTGTACAAAAATAGAACATTTTATAACAGCATAATTAAAAGTGTGAACAAAAAAGGAAGTGCTACAGCATTACATAATAGGTGTCAAACATAGTGCTAACATATTATAACTGAGTGCCGGCCATATTATTGAGTGCCATATTATAACTGAGTGTTTGACACCTATTATGTAATGCTGTAGCACTTCCTTTTTTGTTCACACTTTTAATTATGTTGTTATAAAATGTTCTATTTTTGTACACAGTACCCTCAGTTCCGATACTATTCACTGATGAGCGGAACACGAAAATCGATTTTGAATAACATAAAAATCCTTAAAAATTCCATGAACTCGTTGTTGTCTGGCCATGTCTGCATCTATTATACTCCTAATTGCACTAATATTGGCGGTTCATTCGGCATTTAGGGTCAGTGGCACATCCACTGTACGCATTACTGCGCAGAGAGCTATTCTGTTTTCTGGTCAGCTGCACATCAGGCTGCATTCAAAAAATTGTGCAAGGCGATTTGCGAGGCGCCCCTTCTGGCCTTCCCCGACTTATAGTTGACACAGATGCTTATATTTCCGGGTTAGGCGCAATGCTGTCTCAGGTATCTAGTCATGGCACCAAATTAGAATTGTTAGCGATAGTTTGTGCTTGTCGCGAATTCATATTTGGTTACGCCCGATTTGCGGCGCCCTAATCACGGTATTGTGAGATGGCTCGAGAATTAACCAAATCCAGCAGGACAGATTGCAAGATGGCCAAGTACGTTGGCCGAGTTCCACTTCACCGTACAACTGATGACTTTCCTTTCCACTTATCCCGTTATCGGCCCTCTTAAGAGTTGTGTGTATCACTGTTGAGGCATCCGATGGTAAATAAAATAAATACTACTACTACTACTACATGACACATAACTTGTGTCAAGGGTAATGAATCTACTAATGATGAATAGTAGTGTGTTCTAATGCACATACTTATGTATTCAGTGTTGTATCCCCTCACTGTATCCCCTCACTGTATCCTCTCACTGTATAGCAGCTCATTACATGTCATTTGTGTTTCTTTTGTCTGTGTTGTGTTTACAGATTCACATCGATACTGTTCCAGAATGCCGGCTCTTCATGGTACACTTTTGCTGCTTGAAAGCGGCATACCATGCCTAAGTAATGTAGTGCATCATATTCTTCTCACGAGTCTTGGCACATCAATATTGCCAAGTCGATTGGTCTTCCATCTGTTGCTAAATATATTAATTTCAATAACTTTCTTGCTATTTCAAGTACTTGTCTCAAATTTTGCGAGCTTCAGACCCATAATTATTATAGTATTATCACACTTCTACCGTCTATTGCAATGCTGTAGTATTGTAGTGTTTTGATCCCTAGGTCGGCTGAGCTCTGTTCCCAAATTGCCATCTAACGTACGACATGTATTGTACGTTTCTTTGTAGATTTATAGAATGACGTCATTGTACTCTTGCTTTTTCCTTCATGATTGTTTTGTTTTCAACCTGCTTGCTACATGGATATCTTCTTGCCTTTTCCACAAAGATTTTACCACCTACATATGTTTTCCTTCGAATATTTTTTCATCAGGATTTTCTTTTCTTTTCACTGTGTTTCCTTTCACATACTGTAGTATTTTTACTGTAGTATTTTTGTAGCATTTTTTACGGTAGTATTTTTCACCAAGAGATTTCAACTAAAATTTACTATGGCAACCTGCTGTGTACTGCACTGCTACTACCGTAGTAGTAGCCTAGCAACCCACCGTAGTAGCTACTGCAGTAGCCTAGCAACCTGTGTAGTAGCCTAGCAACCTGCCGCATGCTGGTACGTACGTAGTAGCCTAGCAACCTGCCGCATGCTGGTACGTACGTAGTAGCCTAGCAACCTGCCCATGCTGGTACGTAGTTGCCTAGCAACCTGGTACGTAACTGTAGTAACCTAGCAACCGGCAGCTGTACCATGAAGGGACCTGGAAAGGCGTGGTTGCCATGGTAACGGCAAATTTCCGGGCTAAAAGAGATCCGTTGTCATAGCAACCGCAAACTTTCGTGCCATATTTGGAAGATTTCTCATGAATAAATAATTATAAATTCCATATTTGGCAGTTTCTCAATTTTAAACTTCTGTTAGTCACACATCTCTCTGGGACATATTGTAAGTATGGAAAGTGAGCTCATAGAGCTGATGACCAGCAACATCTAACAGTTGTTATTCAAGGCCCAGACACTGTCCAACTACTTGTACTTCGAAGTATGTGTACTTGGAAGTACAAGTACACCCGTTGGGCTGATGCACAACACTACAAGTTCACATTGATGGGAAAAAGGATTTAAGAAAAAAAATGATGGATAGGAGTTTATGGCTATGCAGTGACAAAGGCACATGAGTGTAGCATGTAACTCAGGGTAGAACATGATGAGATGGGAGTGAATTTCATCATCATCATCATCCATAGCACACTTGGATGCGAAGACAAGCGACAGTGTTATGAGTTCAATAGCAATGATCAGTGACATCAAGGTCATGTGCAAAAGAGCTGACAAAGATGTGAAGATTTCACGAAAACTCAGGAAATCGAATAGCACTTCAAAGGATCCAAAGCATGCAAGAAATCAAACCCTAACCAATGTCAAAGGATCCACTATGAGTCATTAATATGATCGGAGAGAAGAGGGAATCAAATGAACACTGTCACATGATAGTGTCATCACCTGCTTGGTGCTCGAGGGAAGTTGCCACCATGGTCTGCAGCACCTTACAAGTAGTCACAATATAATAATTATAAGTTTACATAGCTTGCTGATTCATTCCTAAGTCTGCAATAGTCAAGAATGCATACTGGTTAAACAAGACTACGATTTCCGCCAATACCCTATTTACTGTTACCACAACCACTGCTGCTGCTGCTGCTGCTACCATGACAACCATCTCACTGCTGTTGCAAAATGCTGCTGGCATGCCAGCAATCTCACCGCTGCTGGTGTCGTCAACGTTACTGCCGTCACCGCCACTGCTGCCACTGACACCATCAGAACTGCCACTGCCATCGTCACGTACCGCTATCGCCACCACCGCCAACACCACAGCTATCATCGCTAATATCATCATCATCACCACTGCCGCTACCACAGCTACATATAGTCATGTAGTCATGTACCATCGCCACCAGTACCTCAATCACCACCAGCCACAGCACAGTTGAAGCTGCCGCTACTGCTGCTGCTGCTGCTGTTTCAGGTGGATTTTCAATAAAAGTTCTCTGCCATGGCTGCTGCTGTTGTTGTTGCTTCTGATACTGTTGATGTTGCTGCTTCTGATGCTGTTGCTGCTGCTTCTGATGGTGTTGCTGCTGCTTCTGATGGTGTTGCTGCTGCTTCTAGCGTTGTTGTTGCTGCTTCTGATGCTGTTGCTGCTGCTGCTGATTTCACTTCTGGTGTTGTCACTCAGGCACTGCTTGTCTTATCGCTACCACCCTGACCACTGCTATTGCCACTCTTGTTCCCTGACCACTGGCTATTTTTCTGATGCCTGGGCACTGCGGAGTCACTTCTTGTTCTTGTACTTCTGCAGCAGCATGTTTGACCTGATCACAAGTAAACAAACTAGGAAGTTTTGCTGATTCCTGACTCTGGATTGTTGGTTGTTCCTGGAATCAGCCAGTACACTCCCTCTACTGTCTTCGGAACAGATTGCTCCAAATATGCAAGATGGGCGGCAATTGAGTTCCGAACAGCAGACAACACTCACCCTTAATTGACGGCTGCCTGCTAATACAAGCACGACAATCAAAATACACACACACACACAATACACACACACCAACACACACACACACACACCTCTCGTCAAATTCATGCACACGCACGCCCCTGCCCTCCTATCCTGATTGACCCCCCCCCCCCCTGTGAAAATGTGGCTCCCCTTACTTCTTCATCGATTTTTGTTTTTTTTCATGCTATTCAACGAAAAATACAGTCGATAGTCACTACTAGACGGTTCATGAAGGCACTTTTGTCTGTGATGAAGTCGGGGGTTCGCCCCATACGTTGCATTTTGTTTGGCAAGACAAACAAAAATGGAAAAAGGGTTACAGGCTAACTGTTTCCCATGCCTGCCCCCCTCCCCCCCCCCCCCCTACTACATGTATTTTGACTTGGCTAGAACCCTGAGTAGTGTACTTGTTCATTGGCAGAAATTGGTCACTACTTCTTCCCAAGAGAGGGGAGAGAAAGTCAACACTGATCTTGAAAAGATGAATCAATTGGCTATTGAACTTCCAAACAGTAAAAAATACTGAAAAATTCCCAAACACTGGGTTGACTTAGAAATTATCCCACTAATGGGTTTATCACACCGCAGTTAGTGGGTGAGGAAAGAGTTGCAGAAAAGGTTTGATGGTATCACGGAATCCGTCCCAGGATAAACGCAATGCTTCATACCAGTGTAGGTAGCTAAATCAGAGTAGATCTGATATACACCTCACTAGAACCATTTACTACACAAGAGTTAATCTAGCAGTTAGTCATTAGTAGCCTGTTGGTAAACACGCATGTCGACTTTGAAGAGTGTGCAACTCGACGATCCCCCAGCCCCCAGCGGAATTTTTATATGAAATCAGTTTTTTGCGGAAGTTTGGCTCACTGATGCCATCATGCGTAGCCAGAGATCAAAGTACAAAGCAGTTGTACATAGCAGCTACTGTCGTTGCGGCAGAACAACACACTATAAATCAATGTGTCCTTAACCTGATGAACTCTCCCCGTAGCATACACACTGGATCATACTTCTAATAAAGAATGACGCCTGCAAAAAATTATTCCGTGGGTGACATCATCACAGATCGAGATTGGAGTTGCACACTCTTGATTTATATGCACTCTTGATTTATATGCTCTCTTGATTTATATACACTCTTGATAACATTACGTATAATCTCCATTATACGCCCAGCGCTTATATTTTTTCAACCAGTCCGGACCCCGGGCTTATATTAGAGACTGGGCTTCTACAAGAGACTGTGCTTATATTTTTTTCAACCACCTGGTACATGTACATATTGCCTATTATTTTGCATTTTATCAGTAGCAGAAAGTTTCCCAGCAGGTACCGAGACTGCATGCAGTTTGGTGCTTCCTGGTACACTGAGGGAGTCTGATTTTAAGATCTCGGGGATCACAGACTTTTACCACAGCAATCAGCACGTGGGTGTATGTGACACTTTGTGATGTCAAATATGCATGGACATGATCCATACAGTTCTTCATTATATGCCCTGCGCTTATATTGGCGACTGCGCTTGTATATCTTCGAAGCCCTCTTGGAGTGCGCTTATAATAGAGACTGGGCTTCTCCAAGAGACTGCGCTTGTAATAGAGATAATACGGTATAATATGTGGGTCATGAAGCCAGTAAAGGTGGTAGGTGCAACATTGCATCTTCAAGCCGCCGAGTCTTTTTTTCACTCGACCCAACCACGACCTGGCATGAATGCAACCCACAACCAAACCAACTTATGCACAACATGTGCCATGTACCGTACCTGTCCTGTCCTATTCTGTCGAGCCACTGTAGCAAGGGTCACATGGGCCCCAGAGGGGCAGTAGAGGGAAAGAAGTAGCACGTCGACTGATATCACCTCAAGTGCTGAAGCAGACGGAAGCGGCGCTAACAGATGCAGGCGTGTGTGAAGTCATTTTACTTTGATGATGTGGGACAATGACAGGTCCGAGAACAGCGAGGACGGTTGCGGCCTTCAACGGACATGCACACACATTGACAAACACGCACACACACACACGGACACACACACACACACACATTCACGAGGACATTCACATGGGCGCACATGCAAGCACTCATACACACATACGCACATGTACACACATACCATGTACTATGTATACCATGTATACGCCCGTCGCAAGAGAAGCACGCAAATCTACAAATGCACTGGATGTGCACCCACAGATTTTCTCCTATAACAACGATAGCGAACAACATCTGAATGAGACAGATCAAGACTTGCGTCAGATAAATGTATAATCCACACAACTGGCGAAGCCATGTGAATCGACCACCAATGCACACCTGGTCTACACCACACGGAGTACATCGGCATAAAACGGCCAAGACAGTTACCTATGCACACACTACACTTGCTGGGGTAACCAGTATAGACAGCACGCTGCTTTGATAGAAGCAGACACGAGGAGCACTGGTACCTTGAAGTAATATTGGAGTTCTTTACCAACCAGACTCGGGTACTGAATACTGGATTTCATCCCGCGACAGCGCGTCCACTACAGCGCGAGGCATTTCAGCGCGAGGTAGTGTCAGCGCGAGGCACTTCAGCAGGAGGTAATGTCAGCGCAAGGCACTTCAGCACGATGTACTGCCAGCGCGAGGTAACGTCAGCGCCAGGCACTTCAGCGCATATAATTATGTCAGCGGGCCGGGAAGCACTTTCGCGCGTACTATAGTACGCAGTATCGTACGCATTACCGAACGCACGGAATTAGTGGTCTCGTCTGCACTCTCGCTAGCGGGATTTCGTGATTTGGTGATTCTTTGACAAACTTGTTTTCACATAGTTCAATTCCATTTTTGAGAGTTAACTTGCATAGGAAAATTAAGGAAAATCATGGCCTATCCTCGAAAATACTGTGTCTTCTATAGGGCGACTGGTGTACATGGCAGTGGTAATACCCCGTACAAGTTATCAATAGTCATTGACAGTCACTAATAGTCACTAATAGTCACTAATAGTCACTAATAGTCACTGATAGTCACTAATAGTCACTGACAGTCACTAATAGTCACTAATTGGTGCCCGTACGTACATTAACATGTACGGCGCTGAAGTGCCTCCCTCGGAAAAAATCTTGGCTGAAGAAATTGGCGCTGACATGTCCTGCGCTTTAAAATTTCGCGCTGAAATCATTGGCGCTGTCAAGACACGGCGCTGAAATGGCACCGAGCTGAAATGCCTCGCGCTAAGGCAGTCGCGCTGAAGTGCATCGCGCTAACATGGACGCGCTTTCGCGGGAGGTTACCGAATACTGGGAACCCAGAGCCAACAGACATACCAACAACCTCAGCCATGAAAGCTATTATAGTAACGACACACTGGATTGTGGAACCAAAACTAGTCCAACTTCCAAATGCTTTGGCAAGAAGGTAGCCTTCCAACAGGTTGGACACACATACATACACACACACACACATATACAAACACCACAGACAGACAGACACACACACACACACACACCTTGACCTTGACCTTACCCTTGCCCATTGCGTAGCAATGATAGCGCATTGTTATTTCTCCAGTCCACGACAGAATGACTGATGGCGTTTCAGGTCGCCGCTTCGACGGAACATGCGGCCGCAGGCACAACCGTAGCCAGCAGCAGAGGGTGCCTTGGGTGGTCGACGAGCAATGGTACGTCACTCCCGACGGTTCTGGGCTGCATCATACCATCCACATGCTGGTACCGGTGGCTCAACCGACGCACAGTCATCCATAACGATGTCCCTCCATCTCTTGCGTGGACCATGCACCGGGCGCGGGGCAGGTAGGTCACCGAAGAGAACACACTTTGGCAACCGGTAATCCTCCATCCGTGCCACGTGTCCAAGCCAGCGCAAACGCCGTTCCCGTATGATGTGACCAATGCCCTCAGGCACTCCAAGGGTCTTTGCAAGGGCTGAGGACGTTGCGTGGGTCTCCCATTGCTGCCGTCGCGACACTCCAACGATAGTTCTCACACATTGATGGTGGAAGAGGTTGAGATGCCGTAGGTCCGAAGCCTTCGTTGTCCAGGTCTCCGCGCCATACAGGAGGATAGAGAGCACCACGGCAACATACACGCGACGACGGCACTGCAGACTCAATGACTGGTTCTCGAACACGGCTTGCTTCAAGCTACCAAAGGCTTTGCATACCTTGCCTATGCGGGCCTGGACGTCATGGCAGGACAAACCATCGCGGTGTATGGCACACTGCCAAGATACACACACACACACACACACACACACACATACACACACACACGCAGATGAAATGAGCCCAAACAGACGCACCGTAGAGCCAAAATGGACATGTCGAGTGGATCACCAACATGTACATGATGATTGTATAACCTTGGCAACAAATTCCTGTGCATTGGTACACAATGATGTATGTTGCAATCACAATGCTCCCCCCCCCCTCCCCCCCCCCCCCCCTCCCGACCCTAGGATCTGTCCACACGGACTCTACAGTGATGGATACTGCTATGCCCCCCCCCCCCTCCCCCCAAGGATCTGTCCGCAGTGATGGATACTGCTACGCCCCCCCCCCCTCTAATCCTGGGCTTTGCGCACATCTTAATTCATGATGCATGCTGTTATCCCCCCCCCTCACAATTGGCTGGGCTCTGCAAACAATAATTCATACTGCCACTTTCGAAGCACATGTACTCTCCCTCCCCCCCCCCCCCTCCAGCCGAAACTTTGACTCTTCACTGCATGCCGGTAAACTCTCACCCCCCCCCCCCCTCAAAAAAATTGTGCTCTGTAAAAAGTTGTGCATGCTGCTAAACTCTTACTCCCCCCCCCCAACCTTTCACTCCTTTGACTCCGTCACTGCCCCCCCCCCCTCCCCCAATGAAAATGTTCACTCCCTGCACTGTGTGCTTCTGTGTGATGTCTACTTTTCACCATTGTCACCACCCCAGCACTCTTTGTGACGTGTAAACTAGCGCAATCTATTCATCTGTACCTCTCCTTCTCGTTGTGATTGACTTAGCACTTGGGATAGTTGTGTCTGCTAGGGTTCATAACACCTCCATTCTGCACTATTCCTTTTGTGTTCATTCTTCACAGATGTGAGTTGGTTGAGTGTCCACACCTTGTGCCAGTATCTTCTCTAGAAAAATAGCGCTATTCAGCTTAGGCTGCATTCACACACGGTACAAAACCGCATACCACAAGTACAAGCATCATGTTCTTTGAAGTGGGCATGGAAACATGCGCGAAAAGTGAAAAATAACATCAACCGTTCAAAGCCATCCCGGAGCGGCTTTGAAGGCGGCTTTGAAAGCGGATTTCGTCTTTTAGTTTTCAGGCAAGTCGAAACGAGTGGCTTGGTGTGTCGAGTGCACAGAGTTTTTGGAGAGTCCGGTACCATGCCTCGAGTTGTCCTTTCTGCCGAGGTGGAGCTACGGCTGATAGAACTATGGGGAAAATACCAGCGAGAAAAAGTGGAACTATGATGAATAGAGCTGTTGCTGAGAAGAGGATTGCAGATGAGCTATCTGTACGCTAAACAGCTATCCGGAGGTGATCAGAAAATGATATACACGACCGCAATCGTTCACAACTCGAGCAAACTCAGACGAATACACCAGTTGTGGAGACGTTCCACCGAGATCATGCTAGCTGACCAAGAAAGAGTATTTTTAAATTTTGAGCCAAGTGCCGCACGGTGCGCTCAGCTTATGCAGAAATCAAGTCCCGCTCTTCGCCATGGGTCACGCGGGTCACTTTTTACGTGATTGGCATGCACTGCATTTGACTGTGTGAATGCACAGGCGTTGCAAGTGGCTTGTACGGTCATGTAAACGCGAATGTTTGTACCGTGTGTGAATGCAGCCTTGACCCCTTCATTCAACAACTCCTTCTCCTCTGATGAGTTCGCGCAACTTTCTGGAACAAAACAACACAAGTAAGGAGCAACACTACTCGCTTTTGCGAAGTGTGGTTTGTGAACTGTTCGTGCTGTCGTCTGCAAGCGTCGTGTGATCTCGTTGGGTGAAATGAAAAACCTATTACTCTGGGCTTTGTGCACAACTTACTTTGTGATGCATACCGTTATCCTCCCCCCCCCCCCCCCCCCCCCTCTGAGGGACCTTGGAGGGAGAGAAGTAGCACGTCGACTTATATCACCTCAAGTGGTGAAGCAGACGGAAGCGGCGCTAACAGTTGCAGGCGTGAGTGAAGTCATCACACTCTGATGACGTGGGGCAACGAGAGGTCCGAGAACAGCGAGGACGGGTGCGGCCTTCAATGGACATACACAGACATTGACAAACACGCACACACATACACACATACACACACATGCACACACATGGACGAGGACATTCACATGGGTGCACATGCACACCCGCACACATACATATATGTACACACAAATACACACACACACGCACGCGCGTGCACACACACACACACATACATACATACACACAAACACACACAAACACACACACACACACACACACACACACATGAATGAGCCCAAACAGACGCAAAGTAGAGCCAAGATGGACACATCGAGTGGACCACCTACAGTCAACTTCCCTAATAACGACTGCGGATATAACGACAATTCGCGAATAACGACAGAATTTCCATGCCCAGAGCAAAGTCCCATCTACCAGTTTACATATAATGAGACTTTGGGTATAAGAAAACTTCGTGAATAGGGCCAAACTAAAAAAGGTGTGTGGTTCGACTAACATGGACATTTTTTTTACGGGCTGGCGGGCGGATTTTTTTTTTAAAATATATTTGTTTGTACATGTAAATACACTGTACTGCCTTAAGACACCCAGTACATCGGCATTATTACGCAGTGTTATGCCATACATGTTGTATAAAGGGATCACTGGCTAATACTTTGAAACATTGTGTGGCAGAAAACGAGGAAAGTGCAATCTCGTCTGTCCTTCATCCCAAAACAGAAGGCCGTCCTTAATCTGGAACGAGGCAATCACTCTCAACCGGACGGTCACTTCAAAATAAGTCTCGCCAGTATGCCGGTGGTCGTATCGAGTAGACTCTACTACCAGCACAAGGCAGCAGTCGTACCACTCACTGCACTGCACTGCAGTACAACTACAAGTCAAGTCCAAAAGGAGCCGCCTGTGTCCGCAGATTCACGCTGCACAGCACATAGACGTGGACGTGTTCAGTTCACGTACGTCAGTCACACGACAGCCCGCCGAAAAAAAAGTTACGGTCGGGCTGAAAAATGTACGGTCGGTCGGGTGAGTCGAACCACAGACTTTTTTCAGTGTGGCCTAAGGAGACTTTTCTGATGCCCAGCCGAGTGTCGTTATACGCAAAGTGATCTGTACATGTACCCCTGTCAACAAAGTCATGTACATTGGTACACAATGATGTATGTTGCCATCACAATCCCCACTCCATCCCCCCCCCCCCCTCCCTCCCAACCCTAGATTCTGTTCACAGTGATGGATACTGCTACGCCCCCCCCCCTTCTAATCCTGAGCTTTGCGCACATCTTAATTCATGATGCATGCTGTTACCCCCCCCCCCCCTCACAATTGGCTGGGCTCTGCAAACAATAATTCATACTGCCACTTTCGAAGCACATGTACTCTCCCTCCCCCCCCCCCCTCCCTCCAGCCGAAACTTTGACTCTTCACATAATGGTGCATGCCGCTAAACCCTCACCCCCCCCCCCCTCAAAAAAATTGTGCTCTGTAAAAAGTTGTGCGTGCTGCTAAACTCTTACTCCCCCCCCCCCCAACCTTTCACTCCTTTGACTCCGTCACTGCCCCCCCCCCCCAATGAAAATGTTCACTCCCTGCACTGTGTGCTTCTGTGTGATGTCTACTTTTCACCATTGTCACCACCCCAGTACTCTTTGTGACGTGTAAACTAGCGCAATCTATTCATCTGTACCTCTCCTTCTCGTTGTGATTGACTTAGCACTGTGGATAGTTGTATCTGCTAGGGTTCATAACACCTCCATTCTGCACTATTCCTTTTGTGTTGATTCTTCACAGATGTGAGTTGGTTGAGTGTTCACACGTTGTGCCAGTATCTTCTCTAGAAAAATAGCGCTATTCAGCTTAGGCTGCATTCACACACGGTACAAAACCGCATACAAGCATCATGTTCTTTGAAGTGGGCATGGAAACATGCGCGAAAAGTGAAAAATAACATCAACGTTCAAAGCCATCCCGGAGCGGCTTTGAAGGCGGCTTTGAAAGCGGATTTCGTCTTTTAGTTTTCAGGAAGTCGAAACGAGTGGCTTGGTGTGTCGAGTGCACAGAGTTTTTGTTAGTTTTTGGAGAGTCCAGTACCATGCCTCGAGTTGTCCTTTCTGCCGAGGTGGAGCTACGGCTGATAGAACTATGGGGAAAATACCAGCGAGAAAAAGTGGAACTACTTCAGTATGATGAATAGAGCTGTTGCTGAGAAGAGGATTGCAGATGAGCTATCTGTATGCTAAACAGCTATCTGGAGGCGATCAGAAAATGATATACACGGCCGCAATCGTTCACAACTCGAGCAAACTCAGACGAATACACCAGTTGTGGAGACGTTCCACCGAGATCATGCTAGCTGACCAAGAAAGAGTATTTTTTAAATTTTGAGCCAAGTGCCGCACGGTGCGCTCAGCTTATGCAGAAATCAAAAGTCCCGCTCTTTGCCATGGGTCACGCGGGTCACTTTTTACGTGATTGGCATGCACTGCATTTGACTGTGTGAGTGCACAGGCGTTGCAAGTGGCTTGTACGGTCATGTAAACGCGAATGTTTGTACCGTGTGTGAATGCAGCCTTGACCCCTTCATTCAACAACTCCTTCTCCTCTGATGAGTTCGCGCAACTTTCTGGAACAAAACAACACAAGTAAGGAGCAACACTACTCGCTTTTGCGAAGTGTGGTTTGTGAACTGTTCGTGCTGTCGTCTGCAAGCGTCGTGTGATCTCGTTGGGTGAAATGAAAAACCTATTACTCTGGGCTTTGTGCACAACTTACTTTGTGATGCATGGTGTTATCCCCCTCCCCCCCCCCCCCCTCTGAGGGACCTTGGAGGGAGAGAAGTAGCACGTCGACTTATATCACCTCAAGTGGTGAAGCAGACGGAAGCGGAGCTAACAGTTGCAGGCGTGTGTGAAGTCATTACACTCTGATGCCGTGGAACAATGACAGGTCCGAGAACAGGGAGGACGTGTGCGGCCTTCAACAGACAT